ATGTGTTGCATCACTTAGAATCCGCCTGTCTCAGGTTTGAACCCTAGATTTTCCCATTTACTATCATTGTTGTTTCCGCCCCATAACAGTGCATGTATGATTGACAAAAGTTGTGAAGGTTTAGGACCCAACACAATCCTGGCGTATAACTTAAAGTTGTTTCCATGGCCATGTTAAAACTATTTCAGTCAGACACAGACTTAAACACAAAAGTACCCCAGCAGTTAGACGGTACAATACGATCGATATACAAGACCTGATTATCCACCTCGTCACGCATTCAGTCTGTGAGTCTATTCCTTCCTTGTTGCCCATTATAGACAAATAACACGAACATAGCAATCCGTGAGACGAGCACACTCAGCCTCACTTAACCCCCTGGATGTCACAGGGACATACTCGTATATGTCCCAGCTCATCAGCCCACACCTTTCAGCTTGCTTAAAACTAAAAATACACCACGCACGCACATTCGCTTCACCGTTTTGAATTCTGCGGGGAATTTTCTGATATATCCCGCTGTGATATTTGGCAAAGCGAAGTTACTGCAAACGACACCTCTGAAAATAAGGACCATTGAAATTATCGCAATTTATTACACTTTACGAAAATACCATTCACAGCATTATTTCATGTATTTTAAGAAAAATCTAAATATCGTATGTTTACACGGAGAATTTAATCACAAAATTGATCATGGGGGGCATCTGAGTTCTACATTGAATCAAAATCCGGTACATATCTGCATTTCGACAAATTCTTGGTTACACTTTTATGCAGCAGACGTATTTAGAAAGTAACTGTTACATGTGGTTTTTAGTTTCAATAAATACAGTGTTGTATTGTGTCTGTTCACACATTGTATTCTCAAACGTTTTTTTCTTTACTTATGAGTAGCAGAATCTCTGCACTCCTTCACAGCAGACGTAATTCAAAAGTAACATAAGGTTTTTAGTTTAAACAAAATCGGTAAATGTGCAATCTTGTGACTGGATTATGGTCCATCAATTGATTGTCTGGTTTGTTTTCATGCCGCCGTCGCCTGTCAGGAAGCATGCTGTGGGCTGTCAGGCATACTTTGTTAGAGGCGGGATAGGGCATGCTTGCAATAATCAACATGATAGAATTGTGAAATGGTTACAAATCACAGAACTAAATCTGCTTGAACCATTTGAAACCCAATCGAAATTACATAATATTTTTCAGATGAAGAGACAAAATGTAAAACTACCCGCTGCCATACATGATGTTTGGGCCCAAAAATGTAGCCAAAGAAAGCGCAACATCAACTTAAAGCGCAGCACTTTTGAGATGGTGACTATGCTTGTCGTAAAAGGCGACTAACGGGATCGGGTGGTCAGGCTCGCTGACTTGGTTGATACATGTCATCGATCCCGATTGCGTGGATCGATGCTCATGCTGTCAATCACTGGATTGTCTGGTCCAGACTCGATTATTTACAGACCGCCGTCATATAGCTGGAACATTGCTGAGTGCGGCGTTAAACAACAAACCAACCAACCAAATCCTACATTTAACCCACAGTGTCCGAATAGGAGTCGTGTCAGAATTACCTTATCACGGGGGCGGTCGGGTAGCCTATTGGTTAAAGCGTTCGCTCGTCACGCCGAAGACCCAGGTTCGATTCCCGACATGGGTACATTGTGTGAAGCCCATTTCTGGTGTCCCCCGCCGTGATATTGCTGGAATATTGCTAAAAGCTCACTAAAAGCTCACTCACCTTATCACGCCCTTTACGACAGCGAAGTTTATGACCAGATTTTGCAGATGGTCTAAGTTTGTACATGTGTCGGTCGGTAGTGCCGGTATCCTACAATTGTTGCCAACTTATGTAACAAATTTCGCTAAAACAGTTTAAAAATGTTTAGAGTTTGGTAAATAATCTAATACATAAACTTCAGGATTGCATAATTCAGATTTGGCCAAATGATCTGCGATCTCATTCGCATGTAATCCAACATGTGTTGGAACCCAAGCAATAACACATGCAATGTACTTCGTGTTTAGAAACGTATCCAATTTTAACATCTCATAAACAATGTCATCTCTGGATCCATTTGAACCAACTTCTATGGCTCTAATTGTTGCCATGGAGTCTGTAATGGTAACTGCTTTGTGGTCATGTTCATTTACGCACCCCTGAGTTTGAAAATGGCCAAAAGTTCAGCTGCCAAGATAATCAGAATCGGAACACCTTAGAGATGGAGAAATCGTATCCGAAAATCCCCAGCAGTACTACCATGGGATGCCTCTTTTGATGCATCAGTTTATATGTGTGTGAAATTAGAATACCGTGCAGACAGAAAGTATTGAGTCAAAACTACTTTCATTATGTTTTGGTCCATTTTCTTGTTCACAATTAAATTGAGAACTCAATCGAGAACCCACGTGGTTGTCACAGCCGGAGTAAACTAGGTTAAAAACATTATTGCAAAGACCATGCTGAGAAGCTGATCACTGTATGTTTTACCCAAACGGAAATTTGCCGTTAGATCAGTAAACATGACCTATTCCACACAACCATTAACACTCTCTGAGACTGCATGGTTCTTACTCTTGGGTTTCATTTAAAGGAAGTATTATATAGATACCTGTTGTCGACGAGGCATCTCTGGACAATCAGCTGACATTGGATTTGTCGCATTGGCCCCTGAGTTCTCAAAGCTTTAGACTCCAGACGGTCAAGTGTTATTAACATGACATTTAGACGCAGACACAAACACAGGGCAACTATAGTCAAGATCAGGGTCTTGTGAAGCAATCACATAGTTGATTTATCAGCACTCCACTAAAGGTTTGATTACACTTTATCGGATGATGATCTTGTTACATGTGTTATACAAATGGGCTGTGTAGTGTGACAATGTTCACCTTGGAAATATTATCAACATCTACCGTTACAAACCGCTTCTATGCAGCCCGCCTGACAATTAGGCGTCCTGTGATGGGTGTGTGTTACGACGTGAATTGTAATAACGCGGTAAAGTGTAATAAACTGCGGTAAAATGTAATAACACTGCGGTAAAATGTTATACTGTGAAGTTATTGCAATTTAGCGCATTGGTTATTACAATTTGCCGGAGTTTTATTACAATTTGCCGCAGTTTAAGTTATTTCAATTTACCGCAGTATTACATTTTACCGCAGTGTTATTACAATTTACCGCGTTATTACAATTTACGTCGTAATGGTGTCACATAACAGATTACCATAGGCGGCAAAGATTGGGGTGGGGTAGTCAACACCAGGGAGGGGTTGTGCGCCATTCACCCGTGTTACATCAAATGTTTACCGACGAATCAACCGATTAACGGATGGCAAAAAACGTTGTTGGTGACGTAGTGGCGAACGGTATGCCAGGGCAACAACTCTTACCCATGATCGGTATTGGGCCGGTAGTGTCATGGTGTAGGGCGGTATCAGACTTGACAGGCGAACTGATTTGTTTTTTTGTGAATGAACATTTAACTGACTAGCGATATGTTGACGAAATTTAGCTTCCCGTCGTTGTCACAGTCGCTGGAATTATCGGAAGAATTATTGAACTGCAAGATGACAATGTCAGACCACATCGTGCTCAGGTCGTCACCGATTATCCCCGACGAGAAGGCAAACGGACATTGGACTGGCCGGCTAAATCACAAGAACGGCGGAACAGTAGGCTATATCAAGGGCAACCACACGCAAGTATACATACAGTATGCCATAAAAGTGCCATGCAGGTGTCGCCCATGGTGAACACACCAGATATTGATCTGCACGTCTGAATTTTTTTAACAACATTTATCGTCATTCCACCTTCACTTTATCAGTTCATCACTTCCCTTATTTTTTGTCGGCAGTACATCAATAGGAGGGGACTGCGCACGTTTGATACAATATTTATGTTCTATTTAATACATGATTGAATTTATCTATAAACTATTGTTCTTTTAGAGTTCATTTTAGTGTACCAGTTGTAGACTTTTTATAAGAAGAAAACAAAATGTAAATTTAAATGTGCATTTAAAGGTATGAACAGTAGTTCTGGGTATTTTATTTGATACTTGGGCACTTGAATTCGACCTCGCAAATATTCAGTATGTCCAATATTATGTTCTTTGTACCCTATGAAGGTAATCACATAAATGACATTTCTAGCAGAACAATTTAAATCCCATCGAACATGGAAAATAACGTTGTTTCAAAACGTTACACAGCTATGTTGACATGTCCCACAGTTGCCACAGCGGGCTTTGTTTAAGATGTTCTTGAGATTCGAACTTTGACGTTTGCTGTTCATAATATTAACATAATTCAAAAGTGTTTTCATTCTTTTGTTCTGGTCTACGTCACCTATGTAGAAATATGCCAGGTTTTCCGGACAAAAGAATCGACAGCACCATGGTTACCAGCAGAATATAACTGCCTCCTATTTGAAAAACATCCACGTTTTCTTTCATCACATGCACCATCCCGATACATGTCTTGTCACATCAAGATACAAATCCAATAACCCCGATGAGAGTATGGAAACTCTGAATCCAATCCCGGTTCCGTGATGCGCTCTTCAATCTTTCCTTGACTTTTTCGTCTCACGAACCCTTTTAGTCTGTCTGTGTAGGTATCACTAACCGCTTCGTTTATACTGGATGCTATTCGGAATTACGAAACTTGCCTTGATGCACATTCGTCAGTCTTTTACATGCTCATTTAACCTGCTTTAATCGATCTGTGCTATTTATTGTCAGCATTCAGAATAGTTGCTGGGGTTACATTTCACATAAAGCTATAATTCGTGATGAAACTAAATAACACCCCCTGACTGTGTACATTCCTGCAATTCCTGAAAACAAGGACATTATGCGCATTCCACAATAATATCATGATTGTAATTGGGCAGGCAACAGAGCTTTTGATAAGGCCAATTAACACAATTACCCAGTGGTGTATCTCTTGAATGGTTTCATGGCACGTACATCATACAACTCCATATGTCCTGCAGCTATCTTTACAAACTAATGTTGAAGCATTTGACCAAAGATGGAATTTTCCCAATCAACAAAGAACAATATCATTTGTGATAGTGTCATTCTCTACACCGGGATATTTGCAAATTTGGGTGTTCTGATCCATCTACACAAGACATGGATCTCCCGTAACCGAGTGCAGTTTTACATCCTGGCTCTATGCGTTGCAGATTGTTTGGGGCTGATCTTGAGACAGTGTGTAGAAGTCGGTTTGCATACAACAGAGTCCTGGAACACTGGGGAAATCGGTTGCAAAATCATCATGTCTGTTTCAATGGCTGGAACCTTCCTTGCACATTTAGTTCTTGTTACTTTCAACATAGACAACCTTGTAGCTGTGACTCACAGACAGTCTCCATCATCAATAAGACTCTGCCAACTCGCGTGTGCTGCACTAATGACCGGTCTGTTCATCGGCGGACAGGTACATGTATTTATCATGATCATAAACTGAGAAAGAAAATCGAAGGAAACGGATAAACGTGAAGCGTGTGTATGACATGTGATATTGTATGTACTTATAGAAATCATGAAATTATTCGGCAATTTATTTAACATATCATATACAAACATCACATTCAATGTGTTGTATTGATAAGATTAATTATGTATTGAATGCAACGGTAAACATTAAGCTGCAATATTGTCGTATGTCTTCTTAGGTCTTTCCATCAGTATATATATTATACTTATATAAATTATAAATCCCATTCCGTTTTGTTTTAATTATAACTCCTATTGAATACATTATGGTAGTTTTTAAATGCCCAATAACTGAATTAGCCAGCTCTGGACATTAAAGGGATTTTGTAGTTCAATGCGAATATTGACATCTCATACGTAAAGCTTTATGTATGCCCCGTGGTGAGAGTGTTGATCTGTGAAGAAGCTCAACGGGGCCCGCCCCTTATTCATATTGCGCCATCTGCGTTTTGTATTTAAATGTTTCCGTCGATGCAGATACATCCTTGTAACATATACCATAATGTATGCAAAATGTACATTCTGTTGTGTCTCATAGGATGCTTTTCTTCGTCTTGCAGATGTATCTATATCACATTGAGATACACCCCATATTTGCCTCACTTCGACAGTGCACCCCATTTGGAAGAACCACGGTGGAACAAGAATTGATATATAAAGTAGTCATTGCCGTCGCTGTATTTTGGTTACCTGCGCTTCTTGTGACTGCCTGTGGTACACCTGCGTTCATCTGCAGGCACAATGGTAACTATTGGTAACGATGACTCACAAGTGCTACTGTAGAAATACAGCATATGTTACATGTTTTTAATCATGTTGGGGCTGGGAGTGGGGAATTTTAGTGAAGAAAAAAGTGGCCAAGAAAAATCTTTGAAGCAAAATGACATTGTTGCAGGCTCGGTGACTCGGTTGATGCATGTCACCGTATCACAATTGCGTAGGTCGCAATAAATCGGAGCTTAATGTGCTGTATTGGAAAAATGGTACCCCAAAATAACCGACTTTTTAAATATTTAATTGACGTGAAACAATAATAATCCCTTAAAGAGTATGACTTTCTACATTATTTGATGGGCCATACGTGGGTGTGAATATAGACATGGATTGATTGAATTCATTTTTTCAGTTCATCCTACTGACAAGGGTGATCGACAGCGAAACGATGGAGACGACCCTAAGAGAGACCTTTGGGGTTTGAAATCTGATATCCTATATACCACAACATTAGGTAAATTGAAAGTATTAATATTAACGATTATGCTCTTCGTTTTAAGGGCGACGTGTTAGCCTTGTGGTTAAAGTGTTTTCTCATCACGCAGATGGCCTGGTTTCTATTTCGTGACGCGGCCACAATGTTTGAAGTCAATTTCTGGTGTCCCCGTCGTGATATTGCTGAAATATTAACTTTCTTTCGTTTTGTATCTAATAGTCAGTTTGGCTAAAGCTCGTCGCCATTAGCTGCAAGATTGCTGATGCGGCGTGACACAATTTTCACTCACTCACTTTAGTATTCCTTATCAAATCCACCCTTCATGCTTGTTTTAAGGAAGCATAATGTATATACTGATTAACTGGAGATGTATTGCATTGGAATTATGCAGTCATCATATGTTCACATATGTTCATTCCGTCCAGTTGCGGTCAGGGCGAATTGTCGTTATAACGTGTTCTTTGTAAGGACTGGGGATTCATTATCCAGAATATGGGTACAATATGTGAAGCCCATTTTTGGTGTTGCCTGCCGAGATGTTGCTGAAATAATGTTAAAACAGCATACAACTACATACGAAACTCTTTCCTTCTTATTAGTGACTATTCGTGTCATTTCGGGACAAGCTGAATGGCGACTTTCCCCCTCTCGTGGCCATTTCATCAACTTGGTTCCGTCTACGTGCACAAAATCCACTACTGTGACTGTTACTTTGGTATATTTGTAGATACTAATCATACACATACAGAATTATATTCAGGGGAGATTGTTTGACCAGTTGACTTATATTGATACCCGTATTCTGACTTTTGGTGTTTTTTTCGTTCTTAACATTGATCGACAAATCTTTTTTCAGATGACAGTAATGGTAGGGTGCTGATAGCAGTGCGCCAATAATAATTTATTTCTAACTAATTGAATTAGTACTAGGATCTACTTAGTAAAACATGTTTTTCTCAGCTGACCAGTCTTCACATTTCAGAGAATATGGAACAGTCACAGAAATATAATATCAGATGCCAGTTTCATATTTTGTTTTGCAGACTGCCTTTTTACTGTGTGTTGGCTACCATTCAGCATTATGAAGATTGTTCTTGTCATACACAGGTGTGTTGTCTTTAGTCTCATCAATGCATGTGTGCATGTCTATTACGTGGCGTGACGGGTCCGTGTCTCTGTGGGAATCGTTCAATTGTCTCTGTTGTGGAGCTATACGTGGAGATTGCTTATGATCATCATGTTTTGGGTCGCCTTTCATGAATAGGTGTTGTTTTATCATGACGTCATTTCGGAGAGTCGAATATGAACTCGCAACTTTATGACGTCATATATTGGACGACGTTATTTTGTAGAGGGAAGTGTCTTGTAAGTTGTTACCCATAGATGTAACTGGGCTACACATATAAACACAGTGGCTGAAGGATCGCATCCAAAAGTGGGAGAGATATGACAATCGGTGTTGGGAGAAAATGTACAGATAATCGACCTGAGGATTGTGAGAATATGCGGGAATCACCAAACTTAACCCACCTGTTCGTAAAATGCACTTAACGAAAATTTTCATTTTTAGAATTGTGGTAAATATTTTTAGACCTTGTACATTTTAGTAAAATCCTTAAAGAAACGCTATATAATAATGATAACTCCGGTAAAAAACAAGCAATGATCATCGCTGCGCCCCTCATTGTTTAATCCCCCTGAAGTGTTTTATTGTACGATAAACAACGACCACGAGTCGTTTATTTCTAAAATATGCAATAATCATCGACTAATGACGTTTACCATTTTGGCGAAACGACCAAATAGTAATGCCCCCCAGTGATCGCTAACATGAGAGCATATCCTGTCCCAACAGATGCAAAAGACAAGTTAACTGTTCTGAACAAACACGGGAACATGTAAAAGAAGTCGAAATAGGGAATTCATTCAGACATATTTTTTTTAGAAATTTGGGATTGTCCTCCAAATGTCTACAATAACACTTTTGAGAGCTGTACAAATGTACTAAATGTTCAACCTTGATCAACAGACCTTTCAACAAGACCCGTATGACGCAGTGTGAAAGAGCATGCTCGACTGACCTCAAAATGTGTGAAACGTTGAGACCAAAGGATTGAGCTGCAGGAATATTGCACGACATAAAGGGAACACGGTCTTTGTCAATAAATGAAATAGTTAATGAACAATGTTGCCCTGATGTTATTTCTCACTTCATATAGTGTGATAAGTATTAGAATGTGCGTTTGGAATTGAAATTACAACATTGTGTTAATGTATTTATGATATATGTAATTGTATATATTAAATTTTCAGTGGACTGTTCCGGGATAAGAACCTTAACTTGAAGATATTGGATGCTTTAACATATCTGTCTATGGTAAACCACTGCGTTAACCCTCTTGTATACGGTATGTATCCTTTATCACATAGTTGGTTAATTGTTGTATCTATAGCTTTCTTTAATCTTAAAATCAAAACGCCTCGACAAATCGTATGATGTTTTTACTTCTTTCTCATTGTATTATATCTTTCCTATCCACAGGTATTTTCTGCATACTCCAAAGAAGAAAGCAAAGTCCGGTGCATATATAGTGAGGTACCTTCGCTGGACAATTAGTGGACACTCATCGGAGTATTGTCCTTGATAATGATATAACTAATATGATTCCGTACACTCCCTTCACGCCATACAATGTGCACAGGTGGTCCTGACGTCTTTGGTCACGCCAGAAACCTATGCCAATAGGGTTCGAATCCCGGTTTGCCCCGTTCATGTTTCTAGGTCTGTCAGCACCACACCTGTGCTGACACGCCATGCCAGTACTGGAATGCTCTGCAAAGTGGTGTTAAACCCAACTCAATCGCTTACCCAAACCAACTCACGAACCTATTCCAACCATACAACTCTAACACCCAGAAGAATGCAGAACCAGCGATGGTGACCTTTCACGTTGCAATTTAAACGTAGCAGTGAAATGTCAACCAAGTAATAATATTATCATTGATAATGATGTAACTGAAATGATTTCGTTCACTCCCATCCAGCCATACAAGGTCCCTTGGTCACGCCAGAAACCTGTCATCTTGGGGTTCGAATCCTTGTTCGCCCCTTTTATGTTTTAGTTCTGTCAGCAACATACCTGTGCTCATAGGTTTTACCTTTGTGGTCAACGTCTGAGACCTGCATCACTTCGGGCTTTCCTTCCACATTAAGCTGACATGCCGTGATATAACTGAAACATTATCAAATTGGTGTTAAAATCACACTCACGGACTCAAACCGTACACTTCTAACATCCATAGGCATGCACAACCATGATGATGACCTTTTAAGCTGCAATTTATACGTGTCAAGGAAATGTCACCCGAGTAATTATTGACCTTTGTAACATTTCGTGATGTTTAACTCGCCCATGTATCCTGACGACCTTAATAATCTACAATTACATTGTAGTATTTGTTAGTCATTTGGTTTGCTATACTCATTCCACGCCATTAGAGCTCAACGTGTGAGGACTTGCGTGAAAGAAATACGTCTCGTTCTTAAACATGGATATGGAATATGGCAACAACTTCAGTGACTACACATACGATTATGATTCAGACTTGACGACGCCATCGAACACAACGGAAATAGTAGTATCCAGCGTTCTACTGTATATCGGAGTCTGTACCAACATATGGATGATCAGATCTCTCTACAAATCATGGAAGACAGGCAACAGGATGTATTTTTACCTCCTTGCCATTTGTGTCGCTGATGTACTGGGCTTGTGCATCCGCAGCGGAATCAGTATTGGGTCTTATGCAACCGTATTCTGGAAAGGTGGATATTATGGATGTAAAATATTTGCAGGTTTTCAGATGTTTGGGCCCACCGTGTCCCATCTGATCCTTGCAGGATTCAATATTGATAATCTTTTCACCATCACCTGCAGTCGCTCCATCAAGGCTTTGCGTATCGTCTTCCTTCTGTGTTCCTTGGTAGCTTCCTTCATCGCGTGTGGCCTCAAGGTAAGCAACGTTGAGAATGAGGTTGTGCGTTTATTATAAGCCGATCTTGGCAACATAGTATTCAAGCCATGTCAATGCGAGGTAGGGGAAGAATATGTTTTAGACATTGTACCACAGTTAAAAATCGAGCCCATTTTAATCGAAGTGACGTTTTGACCATCCGGCAACAACAACCTGCATTTGATTTGATGTTAAACTGTTTTCACTGCGATACTATTTTGGTTGATTTGAAACTTAAATTTTTTTTTTCAAATACTTAGACAGTACTATTGGCCAGTGCCCTCTAGTTATTTTGAATAGAACTGATTGGCAGAAAAGAATGTACACCATATGCATTTTGAAATCAGTTCAGGGGTTCTATCTTCTAGTCTCATTTCAGTTCTACGTCTTCCGTCTGGTAACAATGGGACACGTAAGCCAGGCATATTTCTGCGTTTTGGATCCAGAAGCTAGTATTGTCCTGCCGCTTGTGGACATGGCTGTCTATTTTGTACTTCCATTACTAATGATGATACTTTTCGGTCTACCATCATTGTTTGTATGGTGCTGCAAAAAAGGTAAATATTATAAAATAATTTTTGCGTACCTTTTCTGTGTTCTTACACTTTTTGTTGTGTTTCTTAACGTTGAAGGGCAAATATAGTGGAAAATATTTCTTGCGGATATCAATTGTAATTCGTTATATTAAGTCAATATCCTAAGGAAAAGAATTCCTAACATTAGTAGAAAGTACTTAAATGTCCAAGTGAAAGTGTTGAATTCACACGCTCTGAAATGGGATTCCAACATACGCGGGGGCGTGGCCTGAAGGTACCGACGTACCTGTACAGCCGGGTTCGTTAACAATGGCCCCCGGGCACAGAAAGGGTATGTGAGGCTCCTGACTGTTTTTCCGAAAACAAGATATACTGCGTTTACTTGGAGCTGTGTTGAACCAACAACGACATAATAGTGCTTGAAAAGCATGGGGTGGACATACATACCCGGAGAAGGCGCATTTGGGTGTTTAAACAGCCAGTGTCTCTACGTGGTGTGAGACTGGACATGTACGACCCAATGTCAACAAGGACACCGATGACCAACATGATGTTTCGATTAACAGCCATGGGTATTGTCTTCCTAGTTCTTGGAACTTTTACTTCAAATTATTTGATGCAAAGATAACACCAATACCTTCATAGGGGGGCCGAAATTTGGGGGTTCAGTGACATAGAACCACTATTAGGTGAGTGTGGTAGATACTCTATCCAGGTGCTTGCTGTTTTGAAATGTGTCAAATATTGGCTGTCTCTTTTAAATATGCAGGAATCTCTCTTACCCCAAAAATGTTACAATATGTTGATGTTGCGCTTGTACGATAAACAAGGTCATGTAAATTGGGTAACGAAACTTAAAACTGTTATTTTTAGTTTAGGATTTGGTGATGTCTGGTTCTTTCAAGCATGTGGTAATAAGACCGTACTTTTAAATATGTTACGTCAACGGTTAAAAGACAACTTTTTTTTTAGGTTTGGCATAGTGATATATCTGAAAGCCCCCAAAATAGCTTACCATGCACAGTTTAAAATATCCATTTTATGTGAGAACTATTTGAGTAGTAATACAGTAAATAAATTCAGAACCACATTGACTCGTTTTCGGCTTAGTTCTCACAATTTAGAAATTGAACGTGGACGACATTATAATATTCCCCATGAATTGTGAAAATGTAAAGTTTGTAACTTAAACCATATCGAAAATGAATATAACATTTTGCTAGTTTGTCCAGCTTATAGCCATCTTAGGCAAAGTTAAATAAGCTCTAAATTTTACATCTTTCCAAATATTCTGAAGTTTAATTTTGATTTGATTTGTTTGTTGTTTAACGCCGCACTCAGCAATATTCCAGCTATATGACGGCGGTCTGAAAATAATCGAGTCTGGACCAGACAATCTAGTGATTGACATCATGAGCATCGATCCACGCAATTGGGATACGATGACATGCATCAACCAAAGAAATGTGTATTATATCTTATACTGTTTGCACCTAAATTGTATTTCGTCTGTACAAAAAGGCCCGTGGCCTACAAGTATTGAAATTAAAAATAGACTGTACAGCGGTGCGTGATAAAGGTTTTCATTGAATGATGTGTGTTATCTCAGCACGATATACACATTCTGTTTCTGCTATTCTGTTTATACTACAAAAATACCTGGACAAGGATAATCCCCATCGTGTTTGTTTCGACAGTGTCTTTGTGTGTGTGCGTGCGTGTGTGTGTGTTCTTCTTCTTGGGTGGCTTCGGACTAACTGTGGATTGTGATCGCATTATCATCCAGCTCAATCTGCAGTATCTCAGTGAATTTGTACAGATTTGGATGCCGACCCTCGAGATGATTTGTTGGCGTCGACCCACTGCTCAGAAACATTATTGTGCTTCGTGCCAAAGTCATCTTTGGCGTTAATGGTAGTTGGGCATCCTCTTCGGTAACATTTCCAATGAATGGAAGTCCGGTCTTATCATAAACTTGTATCCAGCAAAAGCCAAGTGCCGACCCCTCTTACAATTGGGAATGAAATGATTAATATGTTCACCCACGCATTGACATAATTTTTTATTTTGTTTTCACTTAGCACAGTGTATGTGAACATAGTTCAGCAATTAATTGTGTCATAATATTTTGTGAGATTTTCACCAATTACTTGTGTCATATGTGAGATGCCCCCCTTATTTCCCTTACCAATCACCAGATTCGGGTGAATTTGTACCTACAACAATAGGTACTGGAAAAGTGGGAATACCACCCAATAAACCACCAGGCAGACTAGATGTCGGCCCGATCGTTTTCAAATTTAATTTTGGTCAATCCTTTGTCACTACTTATGTTCTAAAGTATTAAAATCTACTAAATTGCTATGATGACTTTACTTACCCTTTATTATGTAGAGGATATACAGGATACAGAGTTTGGTTTTGCTGATTCTTGATATCACACGATTACGCGATTGATCGATTATATTCAAGTCAATCGATATTAAGCATTGGACAAGCAACTTTGTTATCTCGAACTGTCGTTGAAGATGGTGTAACTTTATGGACCGAAAAGGATCGTACTGACACTATGCTCGAATATCGGAACTCAACTTGTTTGGAACCAAGGATAACTTGAAATGCATTTCGACACTGTTGAATACTTACAATTTACAATGTTTCAATGTTATTATGTCTTCAGGAACAATCGCCTATACGAAGATGACACGTGACGATGGCTCCTGCACAGACCTTCAATTTCTTGGCAGAGATATTGGAATAGTTTTGGCTTACGGTATTATGAACTGGCCTTGTCCGAGATATGCATCGTTGCATCATTTCATGCAGCTGATATTCGCCTCTCTGAAATGATTTTCATCAGGCTGTCTTAGAATAGATCAAACATAAAGATTCCTGACATCGTTTTGAATTTGTATTGTGAGTGAGTGGGTTTGGGTTAACACCACTTTTAGCAGTATTGCAGATATATACATCTATAGTTGCACGGCGTGTTTTAGAGTATAATTACAAACATGATTTAATATGGAAAGATACAGAATCTGTTTAAAAGAACATGCTATTAGACCAGAATATATCCCACATATATGAGCGAGTTTGTAATGCATATGCAAATATATTTATTTTTCAGATGTGGTATTCTTCCTCTGCTGTGCTCCGTTCATGGTATTCTATTGGGTCCTTGGGTAATGTGACGTTTTGTTATATATATGTTATTCAGAACTAATTACGTAGAGGTTAGGTTTTGAATCTGAAAATTCCGCGCACCACTGATGGCATAGCTCTCGTAAATCTGCGAACAAACAAACCTTGTATTTATTGACAATGTGAGTACAGACTGTTATCTGTAATATATGCTATCAGACAAGATGACATTCTGACATGGACTCTCCACGTCATGAATCAATGTATGACGCCCAAACAACGTGTAATAACCAATCACACTGTGTCATACCATCACACCCTGTTGTTATTAGTGAGTGAGTTGGGTTTGACGTCGCTATCAACAGCTGTCCAGTTATAGCAGTAAATGTAGGAGGGAAGACCGAAGTTATGCAGGTCTCAGACGTTTACCACTTTTGTGAAACTACGAGCACGGGTATCGTGCTGAGGAACCTTTGCACGAAGAGTGACCACTGAAAACTACTCTGTTCATGTGCTCACCGGAGGTATCATGATCAACAGATATGGTCACGGGTGTAAATACAATGGGTTCGGGTATTGAATTATTCGCTTACAGGTTTGATTTTGTTTGTAAACTTCATGGATGAAAAAGGTACGACCAATTGGTTATTCATCATATACACGTTTCATCCAAAAAAATGTTTTCCACGTGTCCTATTAAATTAAAATTATTTTCTATTTCGCAGTTCATATCATACCCGGAGCACAATTATCGTCTACACAGCTTTACTCTTCCTGGAGACTGCAAACGCCTGTCTAAATCCCTTTATATATGGTACGAAATATAAATAGATATTGTACTGTAACCCAATAATCTCAAGTCAATGAGACCGCCTCCTTGGTCTAGTTGTAGAGCGTCCGTCCGGAGAGCGAAATGTCTGGGGTTCGATCCCCGTCATACCAAAAGACGTTAAAAGATTATACGTGTTGTTATCTTTTCTAGCGCTCAGCCTCAAGGGGCTAAAACTGGACTGGTCGGCTCGGAGTCAGAACGGCCAGTGTCTGAGTGAGGTAGTTTTTGTTAAACTGCGGCATGGTATCTCAGTGAGGTAGCACTATCCATCGGCTTCAGTCCGGACTAGTACAAGCAGCCAAACAAACACACACGTGCATGCACGTGACTATAGAAGTGCAATAATCTTGGACGCGTCATTAAACCCCATTTCACCTCACCCCGTCTCATCAGAGGGATACACGCATTTTGATTATATACTCTTAAACAAATGTGGGGGATAATGAAATCTAAATGTAAATGCCAAGTATTAGAACAAAGATAAGTGTTGGCGACAAAGATCCTATGCAAGAAACACTAAAACACATCCTATAGTTTGCACGTGCCCCACACAGTAGCGCCACACACGTGCATAGGGTGTCATTCCTGATTTTGACCCTTTCAAGGAAGGCCGATTAATCCCTGTGGACCGTTATTTCTGTCGATGTTACTGATTCTACTTAACATATCTTAAGCGACATGATGGAGTGGCTCGATCAATTTATTAGCGTCTTCGCCATGCTTGTGGTTTTGACACAGAGGTCCATCCAAGGTATGATCCTGAATATGTAGAGGGCGTCATGGAAAATGATAAATACAAAATCCTTTGGAAAAGGCCCGTATACAGCATCAGACGTATATATCAAGGCCAACAAACCTGATCTTGTCCTTTTTTATATATCCAATGACATCATTTATATCATTGATTTTTTTTTGTCCCTTTTGACACTAATGTCATTGACAAAATTGAGGAAAAACATGGCAAATACTTTGGGAGAGTACTCTGGTTTGGTACCAGGAATACAACCCTTCTGACAATCTGGGTAATGCAGAAGGCTTCAGTGTGGAGAGTTTTCACCTAAAGGTTCTGGGTGGATTTGACTCGACAGAGCTTCCTGGGAGAAGTCCAATTCGCTGTCTGGGCTGCGTGTAGAGGGCCCCGAGCTGATGATGAGCCAAGCCAGCCTGACTGTGCCAGGATCACCCAAACCCTCTTTGCATAATAATAATAATAATAATAATAATAATAATAATAATGAGGAAAAACATGGCAAATATGCAGACGTCGCTTTCGAAATGTCACGCTTGCATCCCAAGTTGTCCGACTCCCCACCGTTCTCGGTGCCTTAGGTTTGGTACCTTCCAGTATGTCTTCACATTCTCCGAAAAGTAGGGTGGGTTTGACTGGGCAGCGCAGATGGTTTTTTTGCAACAATAATTATGTCAGTATACTGAGTATTTCGAATCGTTGACACACCAATCAGTGTGTTGTATATCGAATGTATTTTTAGTTCAATGAATACTGATCTATTTTCAGCCATATTCAACTGCATTGGACGACGGAGGGAAACGTCTTCTCCTGGACTGTAGAAGTCAGAATCGTCTCAGTCCCAAACAATGGCCGGAACAAAATGAAGACTGATCTTTGATGGATAGAATCTTCTCTTTTCTCTTTGTGGAACTCATTCTATAACCTCGATATGTTTTAATCACGCATGGACATTAACTATTCAGGCACAGGGTACATACATTTTTATCATTCTGTAAACATGTAGACATTGTTTCTTTTGTCCCCAAAAAGAACGAAGTAAAGTTTGTTTGTTGTTTAAAGCCGCACTCAGCAATACCCCAGCCATATAGCGGCGTCATGTAATTAATCTAGTCTGGACCAGACAATCCAGTGATGGCTATCATGAGCATCATTTAGAATATGATGACATGCCTCAACGAAATCAGCGAGTCTTACAACCCGGTAGCCATTAGTCGCCTCTCACTACGAACTACGCTTGCTGACGATCAGTTCCAACCCGGATCTTAACGGGCTTCGACGATGTCAAGTAGTACTATAAACAAATACTCACAACCCCATGACGTTTTCAATCTGTTATGAAACAAACAATTAAGTATGATTTACATTGTGAAACAATCATGTTTTTTTTTCAGACGTCTCCGCCTTACACATCTGTTCATGTGTGTTTATTTGACTATTTTTTAAGATTATTGTATTATTTCCTGTTTGTTGATGAAATATCCTTAGGTGGAGATGGTGGTCAGTGCATCCTAGGCCAAGGCTTAGAGCTACGGTTATTGTAACTGCCCTACTTGATATACATATGTATTTACTTGAATGTGGAAACGTTGTTGACGTGACATGCCACTCGCTCACTACATATTTCCTATTGGCATGTCTGTAATGAATGATATGCTCTATGTCAGCATATGATGTCACAACCACAACGTCTCACTAGAACCTATATAGCTGACTACATTATTGTTGATACATCTACACACCCGGTTTGCTAGTCTCACCCAAACTCTATAAACACAATTAATCGATGAGAAATAGTCTAGCTGCATACAGTGCTGTCCACCGCAACCACTCGTCGTATACACATGCATGTCAAGTCTGATCATTGTATTCTCGTTGCAAGTATGTTAGCCTGACAATCACATTTCATCCTTGAACTGATAGGTATACATTGTGCAATGTATCGTCCTTGTCTGTACTTAATGTATCATAATATAACGCGTCGTCTGGTTTCATTATGCAAATGAATAACGTCCTTTTACTCAAGATTTCTTATATCTCTTTATTGTTTATTATTTCCTCTACTTCTCAGAAATAAACATGATTAAATGCACAACTGTGTTTTCATGTTTCACAGAATATTATTTTCATGTATGGCTTATGTGAGAGGTCAAATTATACTGACATACAATTTTATGTTTAATGTTAACCAATTATCGGTATAAATTGCCTGAGATTAATCAATAATTCAACAGGAATGTCATTTGTTACAAATTGTATTCAGAGCTGGATATTACTTTTGGGGGGTGGTGGTGGTGGGTGACACGCATTTGCTCTGGCAAGATCATATTTACTGCCCACGGTCGACTGTCCAAAAAGGGAGTGAGAGATGCCAGGTATATTCTTAGAACATAACTAAAAACGATATTTTTTGATGATCACTGCATTAGTACCATGGAAAGAGATAATATTGTAGACGGGTTAGAATAGAGGCAAGAAGACCTATACGTAAGACATGCAGTTGACTTGAAACCCCATACAAGAGTACAAGACCACACAACAGAACTGTGGCATCCAGACATAGTCAGTGCAACATGTATTGAACCATGATCTTATATGTTGACGACACCACAGGGTGCCAACCTCATAAGAAATAGGCGTCAGATACAAAACTCTACCAACACATCATCTGAAGCAATACACCTCCAAAGAAGAGAACTTAAAATAAGACAACAGATATTACACAGGTAACAGAGACGACACGACCCCAGCGACCCATGAAGTCACTGACACAGCTGCCAACAGAGTAAACACCGATGGAGATATGACAGGCAACGATACAGGCAACCACACAGACAACACAGCAAGCAACAATGAGTGCAATATTGTTGTTGTTGTTTAAGTAAATTTAAGTTTAAGTAACAGAAATAGCAGGAACAGTAGATGTACAGTAGATGGTGAACTTTTGTCAGACACAGCTGTACTGCTCCACCGGTACCTTCAGGCCACGGCCTAGAATATGTTTGGTTTGGAAGCCGATTACGGAGCGTGTGTATTTGAACACCATTCTCTTGGACATTTAAATACGGTGAGTTTCCAGTTGGTTTAAAATCCCCCATTTGAGCTCAAATGCAGTCAGTTGTTACACAGGTACTAATTGGCTGAACAATGGGCATTATAGTATAATCTGTTCCATCTCCTGACCATTGCAGACACCAGACATAGTTTTGCATGATTATATTTTTATAGATGTATTTTATGAACAATACTTATAAATGTTTTCAGAAACATAAATACACTTAACACGAACAGGACACTCGGGTGATCTATTATCTATCTTGAGTGAACGATAGCTCTGACACTATTCCAAGTAGATGTTCGTAGTCCATAAAAAAGGAACTGGGTCGTAGATCAGCTGGCAGTTGGTCTCTAACGGCTTGAAACATTCTGGTGTACACTGTTTCCTCCCTTTCGGATGTTATAGCTAAAATGGATAGATGTATCACTAAACCACCCGCATGTTATCAGAAATGAGCGGATCACTATAACTTGATAATGCCCTCATATTATTTGACGACGGGCCATTATCACATCCGTTGTTAGGAGACGTCATCCTTTTTCATTCTATGACGTTTCCATATTTGTAAAAGTGGGTCAGTGACATTCGTGGTGTGTCGATTGCAGTAAATGTTTCAAAACCGATATTGTTGTTGATTCCTATTTGATAACAAATTCTATCCATTTTAGCTGTAATAACGGTAACGCTATTTTTCAGGGCATTATCATTTGCAGAAGCCTTCAGGCCCTGAAAAATAGTTACCCTTATAGTAGTACATATACAAGCGGGAACCTCGACAAAGACATGGGTCGTATATAGTTGGTGGAAAGGACCAGGGCAGGATTGGAATGTCCCATCGCAGTACCAGGTGTCGGCATCAACAAGATGGCGGAAGTTGTCAGTAGTGGAAATGATGATAATCTTATCTACGTGGCCTTCGTCCGAAATGAAGTTCTCGTTCCCTGTCGTCTGTCGCCACTGGCCCTCAAGCGGGATCTCAGAACGGGAAAATGGGAGTGGTGACAGGACCTTGGCTCTCTCCCTGTTCAGTGCAATCTTTGCGGAATGGAACTGGGGGATTCTACTTGCGAATTCTCGTGTTGCCTCTGTCCATTCCTGGTTCCACAACCTGCAAAAATGAACGTAATTATGAAACCTAGTGACACGACATATTAGATTTTCATAAATGTATTCTGTTCTTTAGGACAGCTGTATTGCCAGTAGTAATATAATTACTTTGAGCATTGCACGTGATACCAATCACTTGAATATCCTGTTCAGACTCGAACAATTACATGCCGTCGTCGTATGGCAGTAAATAAAAGCGACAAAACATTTCCGTAGAAATTCTACGATTCCGACTATATCAGGAGCATGTGTTTAGGAATTACTATCAAATAGAGATGATACCAGTTGTATCATCTGAGGATCAACACTACTGTTGCGTTGGGCAACAAGAAGCCACTTACATTTGTGAAAAATATGTGGGTGGCTGGTGCTACCACTGCAACAGGACATATTTACCCTTATACAGTACTATAATAGTATACTGATATATTGTTATTCAACTGAGCACATCAAACTAAACACGACGTTTGTGAGTGTTTGATACATTATTTGATTAAGTTAAAACATGTGTAACGAAATCTGTACCGTGAGAGAGAGAGAGCCGTTTTGAACAGTATTGCAGTTAGACCACATGCAGCTTTTCAGCTTAATATTGCAGGAAAACCAAAATGACGCAACTTGTAGACGTTCACAAATTTAGTGAACCCAAGATCACGGATAAAGTGTTGACAAACCAAGGGCCATTACAAGGACGAATCTAGGGTTCGAACCTACGATAAACGGATCATGGCACCACTCAGGGACTCCACTCTACAAGGCGAATTTCAGAACCTCAAAATGCAAACGCCAAACATAATACGTTCTGCTCCTTTCTAATACACTACAGATGACAATAGCTCTGGCATCATTGAATGAGGCATATTAATATCACTATACGTCTGTACTATCGTTTATATGTCTGCAATGCGAGACCATAACATGACAAACACATGCACACAACAACATAATGTGATACAATACAAGGAAAATTGACATGACATTTATTTCGAATTATCCATTTAAAGCTATGTGAATGTCAGCACTGGTAATTGTCTCAATTGTAATCACCCACCATGAATACATTCGTTCCATGAGAACAAACAGTGTTGCAACATATTGCTATCTCACCTATATATAGTGTGATTCCCTAAACATAGTTGCGTTGGTTCATTTCCTCAAAATGAACATGTCGGAGACGCTCCCCGTTGAATTCACCATACCAGAGGATAAACATCAACGTCTGGTAATAAGCAGTGTCCTGCTGTACATCGGAGTCTGTCTTAACATTGCAGTACTCGTGTCGTTACTGAAAACATGGAGGCCTGACAGCAGGATACAGTTCTTCATCCTTTGTCTTTGCACCGCCGACCTACTCGGTCTTTGCTTTCATCTTGGGATCGATATTGGATGGATTGCGACGTACGTGTGGACTGCTGGGAATGTTGGCTGCAAGATATGCATGTTCCTGCTCAAGTTTGGACACACCATGGCTCACTACTTCCTGGCATCGTTTAACGTTGACAACGTCATCACCATATGCTGTTATAAGTCCAGGAAGGTAACCAGGATCCTGCTCATTGTCGTCTCCATCTTTGCTGCAGTATGTGTCTGTGTCCCGGAGGTAGGTGTACACACTTTCATTGTTCATCTCCAGAAAACAATCTTTATTCAATGTAAGCATTTTTATCTTTGATTGCAACGAACTTATTAACAGATTATACCGGCTTGCACAAATTATATATGTAGAGTGTGTGAGTATAGCTTTACGCCGCTTTTAGCAATATTTCTGCAAGACAATGGCGGGGGACATCATAAATATATATGGATAAAAGAGTCGTTTATGTATTTATACAGAACTGATGAGTACTTGTTGTTTATGTACGCGCGTAATAAAAGTACATGAACGACGGTGTGATGGATCACGGTTTTTGATACATACAAACATTCATATGGTGCACTATTATACCGTCTGGAAGTACACATATTCAAATAAAGGTTTATACGAAGCAACAGAAAGACATTATGTCCATTGCCTGTACGTTTTATATGTACATGCATATGTGTATGGTGTTTACTTCTTGGTATGTTGCTGAACAAAACATGACGTAATAGTGATAGTACGAGACTAACTTAAGTGCAAGATTTGACATCACAGGGGAACATGATCAATGTCTATTTAGACAGTTGTTGTTTTGTTGTTTAACGTCAAACTCAACAATGACGTCGATCTGTAAATAATCGAGTCTGTGTCAGACAATCCAGTGATTGACACCATGAGCATCGATCTATGCAATTATGATACGATGACATGCGTCATCCAAGTCAGCGATCCTGACCACGCTATCCCGTCAGTCGCCTTTTACGACAAGCATGTGTTGCTGAAGATCAATTCTAACCCGGATGTTAACGGATCGTTTAATGACTGTAGTAAGTGTGCGTAGAATTTCAATTGGAAGTATAATAAAAATGTTGCATGTGTGCAGACTTCTGAACATTAGCAACTTGTTATCACTATTTTGTATATATCTATTATTAGACTTGAATCTACGTTTATGTCTTGTAGGCGTTCGTGTTCAGTACACATATTCATCCACACTATCAGGAACTCATCCAGTGCGCAAAGTTCGACTTCTTTGAAGACCAGGAGTCTGAAACAATTTACCTCGTTGTGTATACCGTTGGCATCTATTGGTTTCCACTTCTTTTCGTCATATTCACAGGAATACTCGCCATCATTGCATGGCTTACCAAGAGGGGCAAGTACATAACATCATTAAAAAAAAAATAATTATGCAGGTTTCGTTTACATTTAACAAAATCAAGAAATTGCTATTGCTCATATGAGTAAAATATATGTGTACATTATCCTATATTAATCCCACCCACCTCGTCCAATAAACCTGTTCAACTCTCTCTATACGCAGACAATGTTTGAGTGACTAGTCAGGATGCTAAGGGCGCTCTGTAATGATCTCGAAATGATGTCCTAAACGAAACCACGTGTGCATATCACATGATTAAACTGCTCCTTAAGAGTCATATGAAGTTCGATTTACATGTAAACGTAATTGTTTTAATCTGTTAAAAGCAACTGAGGAGTTTGAAGAAGCAAAGAAGAAAACTCCAGATGGAAGCGACCTTCAGACATTTGGCCTGGACCTAGCCATGGTGTCAGCATTTAGTAGGTCAATCTAAAAGAAGCATGAACATTTACATCATTGTGATTCTACATGGTAAAACTGTGGCGTCAGGCAATGAATACTTACTTGTTTATGCAAATTGTATGAATGGCGGGTGCTAACGGTACGACTGGACATGCTAACCCTTTCGCTAACACCTGATTTAGTCCATCCATATAATTCTTAATACTGCTATTTTGCCATTTACGCTCAATGGAATATGTTTTGGAGAATAATCAAAACTGGTTATTTTCTTACCGTGACAATTTATATTTTACGTTATGGACTGGACAGGCAGTATATGACTGTAGGTGGTATTTGTGTGACAGGACCGGATATGACTGTTTCGTATAACTGAAAGTGGCGGTATATAACTGGGTATGAATGTATAAGGCCGCATGTGACTGTACTATAACTGTTCATCTATATATGTAACTTTCTGTGTCTTCACGAGTCTATATATGACGGTATATTGCTGTAAATTGAATATGATCAAATATGATATTTTTCGACTGTATACACATTTGTATATGCATTTGACTGTCCATATCAGTGACCGTGAACGTTATGTGATTTCAGTCTATTGTATATGGCATTATATGACAGTATATGACAGAATATGACGATTTGACTGCGTGTTAATGAATGTCCTTGATTCTACAAGACACTAAATGCCTCTACATGACCGTATAGAAGGCGTATATAGTTATTCGACACATTATACATGTAGTCTAGAGATACATGATAGATCTACAGGGTTATCAATGTAAATAAATTTACCATTCTAAAGTAGGGGTTATGCTTGATTCATTTAAAATCATTCCATTGTACATTTTTGTTAATGTAGATGTTGTGTTCTTCGTGTGCTGGACGCCGACCTGTGTTCTCTTTCTCATTGAGAGACTGGGGTAGGTCACCATATTGCACCTTCTGCTTTATGCATGAACATGTTTCCATATCATAAATGCCATGTGTGTGTATCTGTTGTATATAGTACATTTGCAGTTTCAAACAATAGAATGCGAATAATAAAAGGGGGATAACCTCGTCTTTTAACAAAGAAATGCTATTTGCTTAGTTTTTCATGGGGTTAGTACCGCTGTACTTCCATACATCTTTCACAAGAATACAATGCATTAAAATAGCGATCACTATAATTATGCTGTACAACATCTTTGGAACACAGCATGAGTATCAAAACAGTCCCTTCATTTTGAACTGGACTAATATTTCGTAGGTTAATTTACACTCGAGCTTCGTCTAAATAAGTGGAACATGAACGTGATTTGAATTGGTAACAGATACTCAAAAAGTAACCTACAATAAATATTAAACACACTATGTGTTTGCCTCAGGAAATGAATCCAATGTTCATTTCCACATGACTTGGACTTTCTGCCTTGGAAACGCATAATACACTTTACTTCTCTGTATAAAACGTTTCACGGTCTTTCCTTCAAGTAAATCCTACCATCTCTAACCTACCGTCTGCTAAAAATAGCTGGTCGTAGTCACCTGATAGCCTACCCTTACCCGGATTGTAACCACGTAATCAAAACTCAATGATGACATGATGACAAGCAAAATGGAATTTGTTGAAAAACGCACTTTGCATTTTTTGGCATTACTGTAAGTGTATTATCGTGGAATGGCTTGTTTTCACTTTCTAAATATTAGCACACATGCAGCTACCTTCTTTAATTAATAATCGCGATATCTTGTGATTCTATTTCAAGATACAAGGACGGCAAACACGGTAAACTTTGGATCCAAAACATTTCCATGGAATAACCATTCTTGCTTCAGTTTAGCCACTGTAGCAGGGCATGGAGTCATCTCACAGATAACATCCTTACCTTGTCAGCTTGCTGAAGGGGTTCACCTCTTTGGTCATGTAGACAAGGCGTCCGACCTCTGATCAGAAGGTCCGTGGTTCGAATCCCATCACGGGACTCGGAAATTTTATGGCCGCTACATTGGCGCCCAACGTGGGGCTGAGCACGTTCATATAACATTTGAGCAAAATAAACCTCAGTACCCTACTATGCATCTTCTCGAGGCAAGAGAGTTAACTGGCTATAAAAGTCATGTTTCCACCCTTGCCGAACTAGGCTGGTATTATGGAGTTACATTTTGGCTGGACTAACGAGTCTATGCATAGTCCAATCAAAATCGCGCACCGAAATCGAAATCCGGTTCATAAACAGTCGTGCAGATTTCGGTCGATTGCAGGATTTGCAAAGCATGTGCACCGCCAACTCTTTGTCAGCAGATATTTCCAAATCTTGTCATGTTTTTAATCAAGGTGCACACGTGATTTGATGCATTTCGCGATGTAAGGCCCCTTTTATCACTATATAGATTTTGATTATCGATCAGATCGCCCTGACTGGGCGCCACCGTTTTGTGGGAAGCAAACGCAAGTGATATGATAGGTGGAACCTGATTGGTCCATAAGAGAGGCATAGACGGGACATAACTGGTAATAGCCACTGGTGGCGCTACGATCGAGCCCAGTAATTCCAGCCTAGTTCGGCAAGGGTGGAAACTTGACTTTTAAAGTCAGTTAACTCTCTTGCCTCGGGAAGATGCCTACTATGCGGCCCGGGACGTGCCTTCTGTTGACGGGTGAGTATGTAGCAGGGCGTGGAGTCATCTCACAGATGACATTCTTACCTTGTCAGCTTGCTGAAGGGGTTAACCTCTTTGGTCATGTGGACAGGGCGTTCGACCTCTGATCAGAAGGTCCGTGGTTCGAATCCCATCACGGGACTCGGAAATTTTATGGCCGCTACATTGGCGCCCAACGTGGGGCTGAGCACGTTCATATAACATTTGAGCAAAATAAACCTCAGTACCCTACTATGCATCTTCTCGAGGCAAGAGAGTTAACTGGCTATAAAAGTCATGTTTCCACCCTTGCCGAACTAGGCTGGTATTATGGAGTTACATTTTGGCTGGACTAACGAGTCTATGCATAGTCCAATCAAAATCGCGCACCGAAATCGAAATCCGGTTCATAAACAGTCGTGCAGATTTCGGTCGATTGCAGGATTTGCAAAGCATGTGCACCGCCAACTCTTTGTCAGCAGATATTTCCAAATCTTGTCATGTTTTTAATCAAGGTGCACACGTGATTTGATGCATTTCGCGATGTAAGGCCCCTTTTATCACTATATAGATTTTGATTATCGATCAGATCGCCCTGACTGGGCGCCACCGTTTTGTGGGAAGCAAACGCAAGTGATATGATAGGTGGAACCTGATTGGTCCATAAGAGAGGCATAGACGGGACATAACTGGTAATAGCCACTGGTGGCGCTACGATCGAGCCCAGTAATTCCAGCCTAGTTCGGCAAGGGTGGAAACTTGACTTTTAAAGTCAGTTAACTCTCTTGCCTCGGGAAGATGCCTACTATGCGGCCCGGGACGTGCCTTCTGTTGACGGGTGAGTATGTAGCAGGGCGTGGAGTCATCTCACAGATGACATTCTTACCTTGTCAGCTTGCTGAAGGGGTTAACCTCTTTGGTCATGTGGACAGGGCGTTCGACCTCTGATCAGAAGGTCCGTGGTTCGAATCCCATCACGGGACTCCTACACCACCATCATGGGTGTATATTTCAGTTCGCTATTTTTTATTGTGAAAAATAAAATGGATTAGGCAAAAGTGACACACTTACGAGACCTTCCCATACACATGTAATGAAAAGTGCAAACACAATATATGTACGGTGTAGAGAAATTGTGTGCAAGTAATACATAGAACACATACACACACATGTAAACATACGTGCACTCTAACATAGCATGACGTCATAGTGCAATCTAACTTTGTGACGTCACAATAAGACAGGCGTAGGGTGATAGGGCAGGCGTACGATACATACAGAAATAAGTCTTCTAGTGGCAGTAAAAGGTACAATATATGTAATTGTATGAAATAATTCAATTATTTCAGCCCATTTAAAAAGTATTTAAATGTATAAAAGTATATGTAAGTTGAAATATTTAAAAAAATAACTTTCTTTTATCTTTCTCAGTACATCATTGTCACATATGTAAAACGGGAATATCATAAAAATTTGGTGTTTTATTCCCGGCACACTGATCAATGTGTTGACTGAGTGGGATACACCGACAAGAGGGGTCCCTTATTTGTTGTCGGTGGACCCTCACTCTCGCTTTGAGGGTGTCCCCTGTCTGTCCATGTATTCGGCCTTGCATCCAGCAAGTTGTATGACATAAATCAAGTTTTTCGAAGCACAATTCATATTTTCACGACATAGAAAGTTTTTTCCGTCTTTGAATGTAAAAGAACAACATTGTAAAACATGAGGGCAAGTACCACAATTTGGTTTGTTACACTTTTGTACTGTTTTACATTCTTGTTTTCGATTTGAGAAAGAAGCCCTGGTTAGAATCTGTTTCAGATTTTGGCTCTGTCTTTTACTTTTAATAAGTTTATTTTGTGATATTTTTTGTTTTAGTTCTTTACACTTATTTAAGGAATACAGTGTCTCCCGAACACTTCCAAATATTTCCGGGTTTTGGGGATTAAAGTTTGTAGCAAAAGGGAGGACACTCTCAGTAGGTTTATCTGTTGTTTTCAAAATATCACAACGGTTTTGTCATTTAGCCTTGTTTATTGCGTCTTCTACTATTTTTCTAGGGTAGTTTCTTTCTAATAGTGACTCCCTCAGTTCATCGAGTCTATGTTGTGCACGATCTGAATTAGATACTATCGCGCAGATGGTACGTGCTGATAAGTAGGGGACTCTGTTTTAGTATGATGGGGGTGACAGGAATTATAATTGAGGTATTGCTTTGAATCGGTTGGTTTGTAATATACATCTGTTTCAATGTTATTGTTTCAAATTGTAACCATTACATCTAGAAACGATAGATTGTTATCGCTCATCCCTAAAGTAAAGGTTAAACTTGGATGGAGTGTCTGTAAAATATCTATCAAACACTGTAGATCGTCTTCATTCCGATTCCACAGAACAAAACAATCATCTAAAAATCTTTTCCATTTATCTTGAAATCCCTGTCCAAATTCAATGCTGAATTCTTCATCAATTTTTTAGTACAGTTTCTCCTCCAAATAACCAAATAAAGGGGTTGCATAAGTAGGGGCCATTTTTGCCCTCATTGCTGTGCCGTTAACTCGTTTGTAATGAGAACCATCAAAATTATATGTATTGTTGTTCAGAATAAATTTAATACCATCGATAATGAATTCCGAGGTAAAGTCTTCTCGGATCCCCGAACAGTGTTTATTTATCCAGTATTCAATAGCTTCTGTGCCGAGATCACTGGGAATGTTTGAATATAAACTAACTACATCAAAACTGACTAACTTTGTACCATTTTCGACTGAGGCGGAAAGTTGGTTCAGAAAATCATTTATGTAGCTCTTGACATGTTTAGTTATGGGTTTGAACACTTTATCCATAAGGTCACAGATTCTGTGTGTGGGACATTTGGGTCGCGCAGTGATTGGCCGTAATTTTAAATCATTTACGGGGGGTATTTTGACATCAGCAGAATTCAATGTTCGACTTTTTTCTTGGATCTGTGCGCTCTTATGAACTTTAGGAAGGCAATAAAAATTGCTTTCTTTCGACTCAAAATTAATTAAATAACCCTCTTCGTTTGTAGTCAGGCATTGAGAATGTGAATATACTAATCTTTTAAGATTAAGTCATACAGTTTTCTCCGAACTGTCTGAAAGCTTTCTGTAACAAGATTCGTCTTTTACAATATCTAATGAGTATTCTTGGTATTATTTACTGTCCATAATATTATAGCGCCTCCCTTATCAGCTTCTATAATAACAATTGACTCGTTGTTTGATAATCTGTTTGTAGCCGCTCGTACATTTTTTGTTATGTTTGATTTACCTCTTTGAGGGTTTACAGTAAAGGGTAAATCTTTGAGGCGGTTAATAACATTGTCCAACACTTTGTTACTTCCAGGTTTTGGAGTGAAGGTGCTTTTGTTTCTAACCAATGAAGTATCTTCGTTATTGGCATCAATTTCAAGATGATTTAGTAATCTCAATTTTCTACAAAAATCAGACATATCTGTTCTTAGTTCATGTAAATCCTGTTTCAATGGAGTAGGGGGGAACTTCATACCTTCAAGTAATACAGATATTCCCTCCTGTGTCAGATCTACACACGATAAGTTGATCACTTTAGGGTCTATTGTTGAGTTTCCCCTCCCTGGGGGAACCTCGCTGTCACTAAAAAAAAGAACTATAGTCCTTTTCATTTAAGCGTTCATATCCATCTTCATTTCGATCTCGACCACGTCCTTGAGTTTGGAAATGTCCTCGCCTGTTATCACGGGCATGTCCTTGGCCCCGACGATTGTGGTTTGGACTTCTTTGGCGACCTTGGCCTTGTTGTCTCCTTTGGTTTGAAGATCTGCCTTGAGTGATGTTGATTGTTCGGGTGGGTCTTCGTCCCAGGAAAGTTGTGCTTCCTCTGAACGTACCGTTCTGTGTTGGAGGACCTCTGCGAGTCAGTTTCACAGAATGTGACTGGGGTGGTTTTATTTTTGCCACATCAGCATAGGATTTCCCCTCAGATTTTTATGAAGGGATTTTTTATGAAGGGATTTTCTTCTTTTGAGTTGACTTTTAAGGCATAGTTTGTATGCCATTTCTTGTTTTTCTCTAATCGCTTGTTGGAAATTTCTTCTCCAATCTGACATTCTCTGTCCCATTCTTTCTGCAACGATTCAAGAACTTTTCCCTGTGTGGTCTTTCATAAGTTCTTCAATGATTTCCGCAGCCATTACTGTGATAATTACATTAAATATTGTTGTAACCACTGAGACGTTTTGTCTAAATTGGACTGAGCCCCTGTATTCATAACGTGATGAACAAAGATTGTGTCATTAAAGTTTTACATTCGGGAAAAATAGTGAAAAGCATTTTCTAATGGGGAACCCCAAGGCCAAGAAACAGTGTCCGACAAAATAACTCTAAATAAATCATTCTTCCCATTTTTTCAGAGTTAATTAATTTTGTCGGACATTTGGTCTTCATCAATGTGTCGCTGATTACTTCCCTGTTATGATGAACTTGTAAAATGTTCAAAAGTGATGTCCAGCATATACGGCCACTGTAATTGTGAAAATATTATTAGAAAATACCAAATTCACAAGTCTAATATGTATGCGCAACTTATGTAAAATGCAACAAAAATAATAAATTATAAAAAAGAAGAAGAAGAAAATACCAAATTCTGATACTACCACACAATTCTAGTGTCCCCTGTCTTGATGTTGCAATCAATATATTTTTTCTAAAGGCGGCATAAAAGTCCACTCACACATTCCCTCGTAAATATTCACTGAAACGTACGTAAAATATATTCAGAAATGTTCTTGATACTCTTCATAAATAGACTCAAATGTATACAACATTAAAAACAAAACAAAACATACTTTGAACAAATTGAAAACACATGAATTCCCCATTCACCGTAAGTCCCACAATTACCATTTCCGAGAACACTTCGGCTGGAGAACCATATCACGCAGGCTTCTCACAGGTCAATCCCGTTTGCGGAGCTTTCTATACTATCGCTACCACCAGTCACCCCACTGTGTAAGGCGGTCACAACCAAGCATGTATGTGAACTCTTATCAGGTTGACCGCTAAGTCGTGACGCAGAATACTCTCCCCCTAGCTAATATTTTTGGTTTGTTTGTCAATTTGAAATTCTATTTCAGTCAGCAATCACGAACCGATGTGTTCAATCAATCAAACGTTAATTCAGCTGGAAAACAGTAAGTCAGTCGTAAACCTTTTACCAGTTCACTATAATGACATTCACAACAATATACATGTCACTACATTTTGATTTGTAGGAAATATTTTCAACATTATTGTAATGGCCTCGTCCACATAGGGGGCCCAATAGTCTAAGGCGTCGATATTCGCTCTGTGCCGAGTTGCCTCCCTTGGGCACGCCAGCAGTCCATGATCGTAGGTTCGAATCCCGTTTCGCTCCGATTATGTTTCGAGGTTGTCAGCACCATGCCCGCGCTCGCGTGTTTCACCAATGTGGTACAAGTCTAAGACCTGCATCACATCGGGCTTCCTCCCACATTAAGCTGACACGCCTTGATATAACTGGAATAATGTTAAAAGCGGCGTTAAAACCAATTCACTCACTCGATGGCAGCGGTGATGAGGGTAAAGGTGTGACGCGCTGGGAAGGATCGTGAATATCTGGGTGTAATGGAGACATGTACAGCTTCGTGTATTGTTTGATATCAGTGTTTGTTTTCAGTACTCTCAACTTGGCTTATGACCGTTTGGAGGTTTTGTGGTTGGCTTTCAAATACATCGCAGTCATAAACAGCTGTCTTAATCCTGTTATATACGGTGAGTACCTGCCTTACACAGTACACGTGAAGATTCGGGTCAGAATTAGTCTTCAGCAAACCATGTTTGTTATAAGAGGCGATCAACGGGATCGGGTGGTCAGACTCGCTGGCTCGGTTGATGCATAATATCCCAGTTGCGAAGATCGATTATCGATGTTTTACAGACGGCCGTTATGTAGCTGGAATATTGCTGAGTTCGGCGTTAAACTACCACTAACCCAGTCCTCAACATTGAACATCGAGCAGCAGCCTTAATCCCTACACATGTGGATCTTCCAAATAATTATATGCCGTAGCGATTGTAACAATTCGTTAACTTATATTGTATATATTAATTGTTTACAATCATATTTCAATAATCAGTGAATGAATATGTTCTATGCGCTTACAGTAACTTCTGTGCATATTATGTGTTTAAAACAAGTGTTCCCTGATCCAAAATCAAGGGGATATGGTGTTTTGTATTTATCGTTTTAATATGTGCAAACATACTGTTGTAAGTATATATTTACAGAAGGTGATACTTCAAAGAAATAGTGTTCCTAATACATCTATCATAGCCGGTGACCAACAGCCTTAATCCAAGTATATAAAGGCCGTGCAGTAAAGTAATATATGCAGTTAATACCCTGAACAGTTCTGAGGAACTATATAAAAAAAGAATGATAAGAATCGTATCTGAATAGGACACAGTCAATGGAGACATTTGGTGATTTAAGACCTATGTGTTGTCACTTCAGGGATTTTCACGTGCATCAGACGTAAAAGGGAACCGCTGTCCGGCCTTGAACCAAGTCCGACGTTTGAGGAGAACAAGGCGTTCGTCGAATAATACACCACATGTGCCTCAATCATAATGCGCATAGGAAAAACCAAAATTGGACTTCCAAGATGAAAAAAAGGACTTAAAGTCTTTCAAACCAAAGCGACTTGGCACTTTGCGTAGGGTTCACTTATTCCTAATAGTATGCATAAACTATGTACGTTTGCGGTGATGGTCTTATAAAGCACCTTCCAAAATAAGATACAAATGAATTATAAGTGTTTCAGTTATATTACGGCGCGTCGGTGTGCTGTGTGGGGAAAGTCTTTCGACTTTCGTAAGACTCACGAGTACGGTTTTGGTGCTGAAAAACACACATTAATAGGGCTAATCTGGAATTTTTACCATCGATCGCGGCTTCAGACACGTCAAAGGGACAGAACTCTGCACAGGGAATTTGCCACTTTGTCCCCTACCTTATTTCAGTATCACTATGATTTTCGTACAGAGATGTTCACAGGTGCAGCATCTAAGGACCTGGAACAACTGTTGGAAGAATTTTTCAAAATGCACCGTGTCGCAATGTGGTGCCAGTGGTGCCAATTGTGCCATCATGTTAACTAATGAGCCATTATTATTAACATGGGTGAACTAGATCTGTGACCTTACGCGTGGATCAGTCCCGTGCATAAGTTGAGTTTAGCGTCACTTTTACACAGTTTGGTTAGTACATGGCGTGGCAACGATCCCTCCTGTCGTGGTACGACGGCATGCACTAAGAGAGGTGACACTTGTACCGACACGTTGTACTCGAGGACCTGCCCGGAATCACTGTCTGTTAGTGTGGATAATTGTCTTGTTATAATCATGATCCGATATTTCAGATTTACATCAAGACATTTTTAGACAAACTTATGAATAATCATTAGGTTCGTGTAATCCCCATTGATCTTTGAGACACCATGTGTTCAGAACGTAAATATAGGGCATTGTGTGTACAATGGATTATCAAGATGGAGTAGATTATTGTGTGCTGGGCCATGTTTTGATAACTTCAGTGAATAGTGACTGGGTGAATGTTGGTTTACGATAATAATATTACAGCTGTGCTATGTAGTGGCGGCCGGTAAATATTGAAGTCTGGCCTTTGCAAACTTGTGACCAAAAACATGAAAAACGATCAAAGCTGCTTTAGCTGGCCCCTGCGACAAGCACAGACACGAGGCATTGGACTACCAAGTACTAACTGTATCAAGTCAGTTCGGTATGTTTCACGGCTCACGATACGCTTTCCCATGTGTCCCTTGATGAGTATTTACACAAAAAGTAATATTTTCAAAATGCAAAATCACGGCCTTTTCATACGGCGATACGTATCTTATAGTGCTTTTAAGCGAACCCATCATACATGTTCCCCCTTTACTTTGCCTTTTACGCCCAATGGAATCACGCTGCTGTATATTTATAATCGGAAACAATAAATGATAACCAGACGTTGCTTTATAGATAACACCAATTATGCTGGACTAAATTGAATTGGTTGTTTTTTATTTAAAAATAAACAAATGTTCAAAAAGCCTATTAGTACCATCTTCAGCCGATTAAATATTGACACATTTTAAATGAAAGAAACAGTGTATTATTGCTTCTAAAATATATTTATATGCTGATAATTGTTTAAAGATCATTGAGTATAAAAATCTTCCGTATAAAGTTTAAACGCTCTTCTCACTCATCAATCACGACAGAAGCCGGAAGAAATGCAACGCTACAGCGAACCAAAGGCTCACAGCTGACTAAAGTCTGGTGCACTTTAACAGTATGCAAAACAGAGTTAAGTCCCTTGCATGGCATTTGCCTCACCCACAGTCTCCACGGTGTGCTATACAGATTCTCATATAGTACCTGTTCCCGAGGACGGATTAATAGTGGAATGAGTGAACATGTGAATAATTTCAATATTTAAACCCCATAATGCAGTGTTGTTTTTAAAATATACGACTGTCGACCAAAAACAATCGCATTGACTTCTAGTAACTGTACTAAACATGTTGTTCCATATATCGGCGTTAGTGGTCAGGATGTCTTCACGTAGATGTCAACACTATTCCAGCTACGTGAGGGGCAGGGGGTGGGGTAGCCTCGTGGTTAAAGCGTTCTCTCTGGTTCGATTCCCCACATGAGTACAATGTGTGAAGCCGTGATATTGCTGGAATATTGCTAAAAGAAGCGTCAAACCATATTCGCTCACTCGTGGCCACGAACTAAACTTCACCTTTTCCCTTCCCGCGTTCATTCCATGGAGAAATACATGGAACTGATAACTATTTATTTAACATTATAGACAGTTAGTGTACAATAATTTGATTTGGTGTTCTGTGTTGTACATTTATAGTGAGTGAGTGAGTTTGGTTTAACGCCGCCTTTAACAGTATTCCAGTTATATCACGGCGTGTCAGCTTAATGTGGGAGGAAAGCCCGAAGTGATGCAGGTCTCAGACGTTTATCACTTCGGTGAAACCCACGAGCACGGGTATGGTGCTGACAAACCTAGAAACATAATCGGGGCGAACCGGGATTCGAACCAGCAATCATAGGTTTCTGGCGTGCCCAAGGGACGCAACTCTGCCTTAGGCGCCTTAGACGACTGGGCCACCCGTGCCCCCGTACATTTATAGTATATATTCGTAGGACGTGCCATAGTTTGTGACGCCCCCGTCGAGTGCGACTTCAACGACGGCAAACTTACTCACTCACTCCAGCATCATGTATGTAAATATTCTGGTTCAGTGATTGATACTTCCGACAACGGCATGTTGTTGGGCGACGGTGATTGCAATCAGCACATATTCTTGTGGACCCATTCTAACCCAGAATCCGGTTCCTAATATCTTCCAATACTCAAAGGGAGTGCACACAGATGATATAGCATTTTAAGAAAAAGGTCTTTGGTCTTAAACCAGTCCATCAATTCAGGTTGTTTGGGTTGGGCCATGTTCCTCTTCGAGGTGAGGTGAGGTGAAGTGGGGTTTAACGTCGCATCCAAGATCATTGCATTTATATAGCGACGTGCATGCACGTGTGTGTGTGTTCCTCTACGAATGGTAAAGGTGCGTGACACGATAGATGAAAGGAAGACATAATGCGGATGTTAAAAGCCCGACTGGTGAGTGAACTGGGTTTAACGTTGCTTTAAACAGTGTTTCAGTTTTATGGGTGTCAGGTAGCTTAATGTGGGAGGATACAGGTTTACCACTTTTGGTGGCGTTGGTGCTATGAAACCAGGAATCACAATCGGGGGGAATCATGGATTCGAACCCAATAGCAAAAGACCGTGGTATGAAGGGCAAGCGAATTGCGATGGCATATGCAATTAGCATTTGTCCCTTCACATGATGCAATGCAGTGTGATGCATTTTATTCACTTTAACTTCGGCAAAATTACATAAAGTTGCAACTGCAGTAATGAAACGTTGGCTCTTTGAATAGGGAGACATATGTAAGAAATTCGGCGGGGGACAGTGATTCGATGGGTAGCCGCATGACTCCTGTGGGTTCAAGGTCCTCGATCAAACCTTACACTCAGCTCGGGTTGTGTGTGGTGTCTCCGAGTCAGTTAGCTCTTCGAAATTTGCCCTTTTTTCTTTAGTAGCAAATGGGTACCCGATAGGATTAGATGAAAGTCTTTTACCGCTTTACCTGCAGCTGGTATGGTATACTCCTCGTGGAGCTGAATGTGCAGTTGCAGTGCACACTCATCCATTGACTGGGGACATTAACAATATCTGTGAAGATACATTAGAGCATTATAGAAGTTGCCCGTTGTCAATAAAAAGAATTAGTATTTTACTTCTGATTTTGTTGAAGTTTTCATGAAGCATGTTGCCTTGAATCGCTCTCTTCGAGCCATCCTCCACGAACCTTACTGTGTAACTAGATACACATGGGGTTTAATGTCTCTTGACAACAATAGGTTCCCGTCAAATTATCATTTTCAGGTTAATGGACAAACGTGTGTGTGATCCTGAACAAGGTTACTCTGCAACGTACGGAAACAAGAGCGACGCCTTTCAATGTATACGGCAGCCAGCTTTGTTACAACCCCTAATGTAAAAATTACTCTTGATGTAAAAACATCCATTGCGGTTGCGGGTTAACTATTGTTACAACCCTAAATGTAAAGATTACTCACCCATGTTACAACTCTTAGTGTAATTTTTTTTTACATTAAGGGTTGAAGCGATAGATAATATTTTTTTACATTAAGGGTTATCACAATAAAATAATACTTATCGAACTTTCATGAAACTTCGCAGATTTAATTGATCGTTACTTTGTCTTAATGTGCAAATGACTAATCATTTTTAGATTACCTCTCTACAACGACCACCTGGTTGTTATATTCAGGCTTCATAAAGGGTTTATGACCCCTTTAAACAGATTTTTATCAAACTTACTGTTGTACAAAGGTTATTTTTCGATACTCTGCAAGGTAACCTAGTTACTATCCTAATACCGTAACGTCGGAAAGGAAGACTCAGCCCAAGCAGCTCAGACCAAAATGTAGATGGTGGTGGGTTGTTAGAATAGTCCTTTAACAGAGTTTTAGGCATAAAATAATTGACATTTTTTTGCAGTATTACGGATATAACAGTTAAGCATACACCAGAATCATATGATATTACAGACGACAGGAATTCCAATGCAATGATGTTTGGTGATGTTCGAAAAGTATTATTTCACAGTGATAACCTGTAAAAAAATATTATCTATCACTTCAACCCTTAATGCAAAAAACAATTGGTCCTGAATTTATTTACAGTTAAACTACTCAAATAGTTCTCACATGAAATGGATGTTTTAAACTGTGCATAATAACCCATTTGGGGGCTTTCGCATAGATCACTATGCCAAACCTGAAAAAATGCGGTTTTATTACCACATGTTTGAAAGTACCAGACATCACCAAATCCTAATCTGAAAATAACAGTTTTAAGTTTCGTTATCCAATTTACGTGGCCTTGTTCATCGTACAACCGCAATATATCGTAGCATTTTTTGGGGTAAAGGAGATTCCTGCATATTATAAAGAGACAGCCAATATCTGACATAGAACATCTGCCAGACTATGTCACTGTCACTATGAACCCAGAAATTTAATGTATACTTTTTACATTAAGAGTTAACACGTAACCCTTAATGTAATCTTTTTTACATTAAGAGTAATTTTTACATTAAGGGTGGTAACACAGCTTGCTCCCAGTGATTTAATGGACATGTTTGAGAGGTGTACGCTCTGTCTTGACCACACATTCCGAGATGGCAGCTTTACTGCATTTTCAACTATCATGACTATTCAACTACTAAATACAGACACTACCACATTACCGTCATGATATGACCTTTACAATGCAACCAACAAAGCCTCGCAGTTCAACGTTTCACAATATTTCTAGTCCTCGAACTTTCAACTCCATAGTTCACAGTTCATAGTCACCTCCACACGTAGAACAATATCATGGATGGACATAGGGAAAGCCAGAGCAAGGCAGATGTGGATAGAAGGTATGATTTTAAAGTTGGTGGATATGTGAGTCAATCAATACAATTGTTCGTTGTGAAAGTATTTTCGTGTGTATTCTCATCCCATATTTCAGTGGAACTTTGTGGGAACTTTGTGTTTTTGTTTTGCCACCTGTTTGAAGCTAGTTGCAAACCTTCAAATGAGGACAGCTTCATATGCGTTTTAATATTTATGATAAAAAATAACTTAAGAGGACTCTTGAATAAACTATAACATAGGCAATATATCGTGGCGTGGTTGCCATGATGAAATTCAACAAGAGTAAGGAATATAGAAACATGTAAAGTCGGAGCCCGTTATCTCGAATGTACAGACAACACGAATCTATTCCCCGGTCCCGACCGCCTTACTATATAAATATAAAAAAAATTGACCGCTTATCTCGAATTCGAGATACAAAGTACACATCACTATCTTGAACCTTGGACTCGATCCTAACTTTGTCTTTTCTATAGAATTGTGTACCTTTATTTAGAAGTTGGCATTTGCCACATTAACAGCTTTGGGAAGCGCAAATGAGCATTTCACATAGCTGTGAGCAATTCTCCGAGATACAGGCTGTGGAATCTGGATTGAAATCAGAACAGAGATCATTTGCATGGGCGGATACAGCTTTTTTGAAAAGAGGGGTGCACAATTAAGATCTATTTATTGTCTTTGGTGGTAATTTATACAGAAATAAAGATTTTTTTCGAAATAAAAAAAAGGGGGGGGGGGGGGGGGGGGGGGGTGCGCACCCCCGCACCCCCCTCTGTATCCGCCCATGACTTGCATCGTTGTCTAACTTCGTTTCATCCACAGAAGCCATGGGCAGTAAGTAAGTGTCCCTGACTTGTTTCGTAAACAATATAACTCAATTTTGTGTGTTTACCAAGACAACATGGTATTCTCTCAGCTGCTGTCGGTCCTACGCGAAATCCGTGTGAGTATGTACATTTGTCACAATGTTTATCGATCATAGCGAAATATATGCAGTCAATTAGTAATCGAAGACACCTGTTTTATTCTTAATTTGTTGTGTATGCAACTGATGATATGGATCTATGATACTCATTCTGTTACTTGATCTGTCTGGTTCTCCGACTGTTTAATAACAAAGTGACGCCCTTCAGGTGTAGAACCACCTGTTATATTGAGTGACATGCCTTCTATAAAAGATGACAGGTGTTCAGCTTCTGGAATTCAGATCATGCCCTCTCGTCACTCCTTGATAAGATTGTTTAAGATAGTTTCTCCGGTTTTTAATAGAAAACAGTTTTATTTGAATCAAGTTGGGGAACAAAAAAAAGAAAAGAAAAAGAAGTTAACTACGGCCTTGATTCCTGCATATGACAAGTTAGTCCCTTGCACTTCCAACGACGTTGACAGTATGCCACTGTATTACACATTGGATATGAAGGCCACACAAAGGGGATGGGGGGGGGGGGGGGGGGGGGGATGTACTCAACACACTGATTTATTCAGTTGAGTTATAAATTATCATCAATTGGATTTAGGAAACATGTATTCTTGTAGTTCCTTGTGAGTAAATGTCAGAGATAATTCTCGTGCACATTGCATCCGAGGTTACACGCGCAAATATTTCTTCTCTAACACTAACAAGGTTTTTAGCAGAATTGACAAAAACAGTTTGTCACTTTGATGGCACATATTTGACACAGGCATATTTTTATTCTGTCCTTTCTGGTTGGTCTCAATAAAACGTAGTTTGTTGTCACAGGTTCATCGATACCATTACAGACATCACTAATAATGTAACACTCAAATATTTTTACGCATAGCTATTTAATTCTATGTTCCATTCACAGCCACCGTGTTTTCTCAGCTTTACGGGACACAGACCAGCTGAGTGTTGACGCTATGTTAGAGCGATTGGGTACCTTTGGACGGTATCAGATTACACAGGTCGCACTGTTGTTTTGTGGGAACCTCACCATCGCCTTTCATGTTCTAAATTTTGTCTTCATTGGTAAGATCGATATTTTCGAGGAAGGGTACTTTTCTAAAACACTTACTCTGTGTTATACCAAAGTGTGATAAGGGTGGGGCATGTACATTTCGGTTGGTGTAATACAAACCCCAATTAAATATATGAGAACCGAACCATAATGCAATCGAAAGACGTCTTAATGTTACTACAGTGGAATCTGATTCGGATTTTGGTAAAAAATGGACTTTTTCTCGGGTCCCCTCAGTTCCTTAATAAATTATCATTACACAAACTGACCTAAAACTTTTTACACTTCGGACTTCGGACTAAAATACGGTCCTAACAACCAGTTGACTCATTCGTGAACACCTCGTGTTATTCCGGGACAAGCCGAATAGCCACTCGTGCCCTAATTATGGCCATTTTTGCGACCGGGTCCCGTCTTAGCGCAAACGTACATACCTAAAACAATTGTCAACTCGTTGCCTAATGGTTCACATATATTTCCCCATATATTATATATATTTCAGATTCATTTTAAAGCGCATCGGGACTTGCGGAATTATACAGTATGATTGCACAAATTTAACTGTGTTTTAAGATGCAAGACATGTAAAATCAAAAATTATTTCTGAGGGTTTCTTTGACGAAGAACTTGAAATCATACGCGCATTCTGATTGGTTTGTCGTATTTTCGCACATAACATTCATCGATAGGGGGACGAGTCTTCTAGCAGGTTACGGAAAGGTGCGAGTGGTGACGGATGCGAAATGAATATTACAAAAAAGCTGAGTAAATCGGACTAGAGCAGACCGAACCGGATATTCTCTGAAGTAAACTCAGTCAATTTCGCTGCATATCCAAATGTTTCAGAGGGTTTAAGAGGCCACATTTATTGTGTAGAGTTGAATCCCATGACCGTTCAAGGATCCACTGTCCGCGGGGTCAAGCACATATCCGCCCCAAATATGACCCTATATGGTTTATCAGCACCATGCACATGCTCGTCCAGTTTTAAGCTGATACGTTATGCTAAAGCTGCAATACTGTACAAACTGGCGTCAAACTAACGTGTTCATTAATTGCTCCACACATGTATGAAAACACAGTCTTTATGTTGAAATAACCTAGCACAAGAAGCGAAGCATCAGTGTACGTCCACTGAATTGGTCGAGAGTAGTGACAGTGATGTGGTGTATGGACAGTGCCATGGGAACATAGTAAACGTCAGTACCAACGCAACGACCACCACGCAATGTGTTGCATGGAAATATGAACCAGATCGTCTACGTTCCATAGTGTCAGAGGCAAGTGTTTTTTTTTTCAAAACTCAAAATAAAAATGAAATATAACTTGTTTGTCCTACTCGATTTTATGCTCAGTAAGAAGTGAAAAGCGACACGTCGGTGTATCAGTCGAATTTAACACGTAATGTGCTTTCGAAATTGCCAGTTGCATCTTTAAGAAGATCTAATTCCGTTTCGGATTTCACAAAAGAGTTCAAAATGTTCCGTTTTAGTGATTTGAATCGGTAATCAATTTGGATGCATTCATTGGTCAGCCATTCATTACAACTGATGCAACTGATATGATACATTTTGAAGATCACTTACTTTAGTATGTGTTGAATCGTTTCAATAAGCCAGTTGTCTAAACTTGGTATCACGATACGATATATTGGGGTCACCTAGTAAGAGCCAGGCTCAATTGATGCGATTTCTACTTGCACTATCACACAATTATCCTATTGTCTAATGTTCCAAATAAGTTTTCCAAATGAGTTTTTTCCATGTATCGGCGCTTCTATAAAGTTGACACCATAGGATAAGAGAGATGGCAGAAAAGTTCTGAGCCAAACTACGAAGGACGTATAATAAATACATCCTTAACAGTTTGTTTGTGTTAAGGACAATACCTTCCATGCTGACATGCTGCAGTTGGACCAAATACACAACCAGGCAGCAGATTTTGGCAGGAATCTGAATGACTACACATACGTATTCTCCGTTGATGAAAATGTACAAAATTGACTACCGCGCTGTCATAAAAAAATGTCCCACTGAAAGGACCAATTCCAACAGCCATCCATGGTGTCAACTTTAGGGGACGGACGTTGTTCTTCCTTTTAAGAGTTTTAAGAGGTGGGGAAGCGGAGTTCAAAAGGAGACAAGAGAGCCTTGAAGATGATCTACTATAAAAAAATACAGAATATGATTACATATGTTCGACACTCACCACACGTCACACCAGAAGGCATCTCCCATGAGTGAGTGATCTATTGATTTACACCGCTTTTTGAAGTATTCCAGCAATATCACGTCGGGGGACACCAGAAATGGACTTCATACATAGTACCCATACATGGAATCAAACATGGGCCTTCAGCATGACTGGGATGACGTCTTTCGAGAGAGTTGAGAACTGCGTGAGAATATCAAGGATAAACACCCTCGCAAAACTCACTAAAGGTGTGTTGTTCCATCAGGACAATGCACCTGTACACAAGTCTGAGTCAATGCAGGACTGTGGTTTTGGACTTATTTAGCATCTTTCGTCTGACCTGATTTGGCACTGTCTAATTTCCACCTCATCTCAAACTTGAGGAAAGAACTGCCTGGTTGACATGATACAGCTGATGATGCCGTTACTTGTGCTGTGGGGTCTTTCAACACCATCCGGAGGAAGCCTTCTACATTAGTTGGATCCAAGCACTCCAGCTACCAACTGCAGCCATCATATACTTAGGCTCAGAACTTTTCAGCCGCTCCTTGTCAGTGGGGCGGTACACCTTCAGGCCCCTGTTTATATGAATAAAAGCGTTGAATGAGTTTAACATGTGAAGACGTATTGGTTGCATAGCTTCCGTATTAGAATCAAATGCATTTATAATGCGAGCGAAAAGAAACGGATTTGACAGCGCACGTTAGCGGAACCGCTATGGGGCGGTCTTTCAATTGTTTCATAGGCACTTTCTTAGAAGTTCGCGGATGACAAAGCAGAAATGGCGGCAAAAAACAAATAAGCGACAAGCGAAGTAATTTATTTTGGTTTGTCTGACTCGAAATTTGCATAGAGCAACTAGTATTGATATGCATCAGGATTTGTTAACTAAAGAGGGAAACGTGTTTTCTTGTATCAGTTAACGCAAATAAATGGCCAGTTGTTAGGTATGTTTGACATCGCGCCCATCCGCCGACCAGATCCCAGCAATCTGGGCAACTGTGTGGTTGCTAAAGGACACACATTGGAATTTGGTAGTGGTATATGTTAAGAAGAAACTTATAAATTAATAGCATTGTTTAAGTGCCAATCAGCCACAGACGAATGCCTCACTTTTGACACTGACTGACCGAATTTTGTATTTGTATTAACTAGAATGAAATTATTGGTGAAGTAATCCATGTAGCTCCGTGTTTGATACGCTTTCCATCAAAATACATCGATAATGCATACAAAATAGTCTTTATATATTAAATTGAATAATCTGTTTCGAAGGGGAATTATAATTTACGTTCAATGCGCATTAACTCCCTAATAAGAATTACATTCTTTGCAAAAACAAGCGTTGATTACTACACTTCCCAGTTTCCCTTCGCCTCTCCTGCCAGCCATGTTTCGTGCGCTGTGACGAGAGTAAGTGTTGTTGTAGTTTGGCGAAATGCGGAATTTAACGGATATGACCGAATGTGTTCGGTTCCAGAAGCGGCTGTGTGGTGATTCCAATAAGAACGATAGTTGTTGCATTTATATCGCATTTAAACTATTGCTTCGCACCTGGTAGCTATACACACGACATTGCTTACGTTAATTCCGATAGTGCTTCTTTTCATTTAGGGGGCACGGGTGGCCCATACGTCTAAGGCGCCGCAATTCGCTGTGAAGTGTTGCGTCCCTTTGGCACGCCAGAAACCTATGATTGTGGATTCGAATCCCGGTTCGCCCCGATTATGTTTCTAGGTTTGTCAGCACTATACCCGTGCTTGTGGCTTTCACCGAAGTGGTAAAAAGACCTGCATCACTTCGGGCGTTCATCCCACATTAAGCTGACACGCCGTGATATAACTGGAATACTGTAAAAAGCGGCGTTAAACCCAACTCACTCACTCACACTTTTCATTCAAATAGACAGGAGGCCCGACACCTTAACCAAATGGGGATAAGAGTATGTCTTCGATCTTAACTAACTATTGCATTCAAAGTTTACTTCAGTGAGTGAAAATAGATCATTCTTGGACTTTAAGAATGACATAACATTATTTTTAGATTGTAGATGTGTTCCTTAATACATTAGACACATGTGTGATATTAGAAATAATAAAATATAGATAAACTAGTATGTATCGTGCTGGCCTATGTGTGAGGTCCCACACGAAACGCTGTAGCATTTGATGTTGGGTCTGTGCATTGAGAGGGATACTGGTAGCCGTTGAACTTTTGTCTGGTATATGTCCTGTCCTCAAAGGCCAAAAAGTACGTAGATATGCTGACACAGGGCTTCCTGTCTTGGTTTGTCACAAGCTGGACCTTTCGTTTCTAACATTCATGGCTTGATAAATTCAGTATAACCATATTTATATTACATTGCTAATTTCATATATCATAGAAAAGAGTATGTTCCATCTTATTCTTATATAAATAAACTCCTTGGTCCTACATTATTAAAATAACATTGCATGTATCTTTCGCGGATGTATTGCATTTTATCAGCTAATGGTCTTGTTCACATTGTAAAGTATTCTGAGTATCCTATTGGGATCCATGACCACTGTGAATAAACCGCCTCCGTGGTCTTGTTGATAGAGCGTTTAACCGAAGAGCGGAAGACGTTAAAAGATGGTACTTGTTGTTACCCTGTCTGGCGCTCGGCATTAGGGGGTAACACTGGTCGGCTCGGAGTCAGTATACTGTGTCTGAGTGGGGGTATTCATGTTAAACTGCGGCATGGTATCTCAGTGGGCTAGCATTATAAAATCGGACTAGTACAAACAGCCCCCCCCCCCCCCCCCCCCCACACACACACACAAACCACCACCACCCACACACATGCATGCACGTTGCTATATAAGTGCAATAATCGTGGACGCGACGTTAAACTCCATTTCACCTCATATCATTTCACTGTGAGAAAGTAAGAACTGATTCTGAAGCTGATTTCAAATTGCAATCTTTAACTTTCTTTTAAATGTTAGCTACGTCATATTATATACGCTTTTAATAAAGTGAAATTCAGTTTATACGTGGTATAGATATGGTTTTGACATTGTATATTTCTATCTTACTTTCATTTGCTATAAGAAATGCATATTATCTTCTATTCCAGTGGGACTTAGTTTGTGATAATGTCCCGTTCAGTCGCCTTCCACAAACTATGTTTATTGTGGGCCAAGGAATCGGGGCACTGGTGTTTTCTATACTGTCTGACAAATTCGGGAGAAGGCCCTTCCTACTCCTCTCCCACTCTGTAACGGCTGGGGTCGGAGTTGCACTGGCGTTTTCCCCCAACATACAAGCCTTCACCAGCATGAAACTGATTAACGGAGTTTTCCAACAGGTAAATAATTATGATTACCTTTGTTATTGGTGTGTGTGTGTATGTGTTTCTGTGTGCTTGTGTGCGTGTGTGCGTGTGTGTGTGTGTGCATATCATGCACTATGTTGTGATATCTTTCTTTACAGGGGATCGTAGTGACATCCTGTACAATGTGGCTGGAACTGTTTCCAAGACGGCGTCGTATGGACATAGTGTTTATTCAATCTATATCATGGTGTGCATGTCTTCTGATGCTTACTCTCGTTGCCTACATACTGCGTTATAACACATGGCGGACACTGCAGCTGGTATTGTCCTCTGCGTCCATCGTCGTGGTCCTTCAAATTATGTAAGTATGTCCTTCCCGAAAATATGAAACCAAGTCTTCATAAGAATTCATCTCGGTGCAGAATTGCGTCCCTTAGGCCTGCCAGGAACCAATGATCATGGGTTCAACATGTGTCTTGGTTTGTCATGACCATGTCCGTGCTCGTAGGTTCACTAATGTGATAAACGTCTAAGATACAACTGCAAAGTTAATGCTGTACAAAGCGACCGCATAAACAAATTCATTCACCCACTTACAAGCAATTTAGAAGTGTGTGAACAGAACTCACTCACTTTTTGTGATATACTTTCAGACGTGTCATACGTTACATGATATGGATTTTTATCGCCGACAAAGAAAATCTTTTCTAAGGTTCTATGATAAATAAAGCGACAAAACCCTTTCTATATCAAATAAACAGTAGAAACACCTGCCTTTTAGGATATACCTGAGGCAAATCAAGATGTGGAATTGGCATAACCTAACATATCTGCCAGCATTGAGGTATTGGAATGCGCGTCGCTTTAGTTCCTGTGTCATGTATCATCCATCGTTACATCTGTTGTTGACTTGATGTTTTGTTGCATTTTCATTTCAGATTTCAAGACGAATCTCTCAGATGGTTGATCGCAAACAAAAAAGATGACAAAGCAATACAGATCCTGTATAAGGCTTCAAGGTTTAATTGCGTGGATGTTTCAAATGTGATTCCTCAGGTTACAGCTTTTACAGAAACAACAGGCGACGCACCTAAGCCCGATACCAACAAGATCCCTACGGTCATACATGTTTCCAGATACACAGTACTGGATGCGGTCAAAAGCATGTTTATGCTGAAGATTTCAATTATTGTTTGGCTTTCATGGTAAATTACTTTTTCTCCTTCTACTTAATTTTCCTTGTTGTCGCCATCACAAAAATAAAGGGTCCATGGGTGGCCTAGTTGTCTGATCACTCGCATGTCGCTGTGCGGTAACATATGGTCGTGGGTTCGAATCTTGGTTTGCCCAGAATAAGTATTTTTGTCTATGATACTGTGCAGAGTTGCGTCCCTTGTGCATGCCAAAAAACCTATGATCGTGGCTTCGAATCCCGGTTCGCCCCGATTATGCTTCTATGTTTTGTCAGCATCATACCAAAACTCGCTGGTTTCACCAAAGTGGTAAACGTCTAAGACCCATTCACTTCTTCTCACAGCAAGCTTAAGCGGCGTTAAACACAACTCACTCACTCATAAGAAATAAAAGCAGTGTTAGGCTTCTTCACTCCTTCAGTCCGAATTTCTGCCGGCTTGATAGTGCCTGTTGACTGAGAAGCATTGCCGCAGTTAACATGGATACCCCACCCTAACACAGTATCCTGACTCTCCGAGCCGAGTTTTATCCCCTTATGCTGAGCGCCAAGCATGGTAACACCCTTCTTTTGGTATTGCTCACAATTAGAATCATTCCTGTAATAATGGTCCTAACAGATGATATTGAGAACGAGAGGATGACATTTGACGCTATAGTGAAACGTTCAGGGTAACGTCTCTAGTATTAGGTCTCCAGTATAAAACGAATTATCCGTTCCTACTTGAGTAATAAGCGTATACAATACTGGAACACAATTACAGTCTACAGTTTTCAGGGGCGGTCGGGTAGCCTAGTGGTTAAAGCGTTCGCTCGACCCGGGTTCGATTCCCGACATGGGTTCAATGTGTGAAACCTATTTCTGGTGTCCCCCGCCGTGATATTGCTGGAATATTACTAAAAGCGGCGTAAAACCAAACTCACTCACTCGCTCACTACAGTTTACAGTTTCTACAGTACATTCTGTCTAATCCAGACGCTACTACTGCTATACTTTCACTAATCCGGATGTCTGTATAAACCGGTCTAAATATAAAACGACAACGCCAGAGAATAAACAGATCCCTTTGGGCGAAAAAAGCAAAGTTGTGGTGAAAATGCATGAACGTATCACCGAAAATCAGCGATAAATAAAAATGTTTGAGAAATGTTCATTTTGCTGCAGTGTGTGTGTAGTTTTACACAGACAGACACGTGTGTTTCAAATATTTTTTAAAGCATGCTATATTCTGTTTGTTTATACAATTTGAGGCTACATTGGTTACGAGTGCACATTAGAACTCTTTCCCACCACGTTTATATTGCAGGCTGGTTGACAGTCTAACATACTTTAGCCTGTATCTGACATCCTCATCTCTAGCCGACGACTTCTATCTCAACTTTCTCCTCAACTCGGTGGCTGAAGTCCCAACGGCACCGCTGTACTGGCTCATCAGCAAAAGGTTTGCGTTTACACTCTCATAACGAAAATATAATTCTTGTTATGTGATGCTTAACTAGGAGATTTGACGGTGTTCCATTTTTTCTGAATCTTGATAGCGAAAATCGTTATGTGTATTGTAGATGTTCGGGTCTGGACTATACTAACCGTGACTGATATTAACGCTACGTTCTATGACGCGAAATCCATCAAGCCTTACCCCCGATACAATTTACTGGTCACTATCGGCTTAGAACGGAGTCCTGCGTCCACTTTCACCAAGCAATCTTAGCGCTACGGCGATTACAACTACCACACTCTAACACAGTCGTAACTCTAAGGGGCGATCGAGTAGCCTAGTGGTTAAAGCGTTCGCTCGCCACGCCGAAGACCCGGGTCCGATTCTCGACATGGGTACAATGTGTGAAGCCCATTTCTGGTGTCCCCCGCCGTGATATTGCTGGAATATTGCTAAAAGCGGCGTAAAACCATACTCAGTCAGTCAGTCTAAGATCGCTTTGTGCAAACGGACCCAGCGAACCTTTTCTAACCCTTATCACCACGGGGTATTTAGCATAAGTTGCAGACATATTTTCAGGATGAGTAAACTAAATCAGTATGTATGTACACTTACTTACGCAGGACCGAGGTCACTTTGTGGATCACTCAACGTAAAACCTCTTTGCGGATTTACAAGCTGCACACCGGGTTTTATGTTTACACTGTTGTGCTGCAGTACTACTGCAGTGAAGATTTCCAATGCTGATGCATGTTTACTGAAAAAAAAATTTCAAAATATTTTTTGACTAAGTGATTATATAGAAAGTATGTATTTACTTACAACATAAACCAGATTGTGAAGGAGATATGGCTAGACATAGGAATAAGTTTCGATAATCCATATTCGTGATTCCACTAGTTTTTGTGGTCAAGTGCTTTACAGGAGGTCTCGTTACACAAGCTGTCATGACCACTTCAGAAGTGGGGTAATATTATCATATTCATATTGATATAAGCTCGACCGGACCTACTTCTCTGAATGTTTGCCTGTAAGCGGATAACGGTGTGTTTATTTTCTCAGCTAAAATCAACATCCGACACCTTGGAACATAGACGTGCCGTGTTAAATTGGAGTAGTTCAAACGTGTGAAGCCCGTTGAGTTGGTAGTTCACAGGTCTACAAGAATGCATCTGGTATTTTGAAGTGAATATATGCCCCCGTGAAGTAGAAAGATTGGGTACACGTTATTTCAACTGCGAGTACGCACTCCTTTGCATCAGAGCCTATTTACACAAAAGAAGTTGGAATAACATGTATCACTATAAAGTATGGAAATGAGATTGAGAGCACGATGAAAAGTTGCCTTTCGGGATTTTACAGTTCAAGTAAAACAGCATCACTATCGTATGTAAAATGAGTTAAAACATTGCAAGAATCGTAAGCGAGTTAAAAACACTTTCTAAAACTTCTGTTGTGCAGTGTTTGATAAATATGTTTTGCAAACATGCTATGTCTGTGTCTTCCGAAGTATAAAGCGCCTCCGTGGTGTAATGGATAGAGCGTCTGCCCGGGGAGTGGGTGGTCGCTGATTCGACCGCGGCCATGTCATACCAAAAGACGTTAAAGATGGTACTTGCAATACTTATATTTAACTGTTTTGGTCCGTCGGTGTCGTTAGGTATGTTTGTGTCATAATGGGCAGTGACTGTAACATTCAAAGAATGTGTGACAATTCTGTTTTGTCAGTAGAACTAAGAGTGTGTATTTCAAGGATCTTAGACCACAGAGACCTTCAAAATGTTGCTTGAAGGGATTTATCGGTGTTTCCCTAAATGATATCGATAACTCACGCCAAAACATTGGATTCAACCAATACCGCTTCACTCATATCTTGACTAAAAACAAAGCATTCGGTTCCACATTCATGATCAATTTAGCGCGGTTACATTGAAAACAGACTTGTTACTCTCCTTAATATACATGCAACGGATATAGGCAATGTTATTAAATAGGACACGTCAACGCGAGATAATAATCTCGATTATCGGCCGCAACAGATTCGATTGGACGTAAAAGGCAAAATAGCGGTGACAATTATGTGAATAAATGGAAATAGAAAACTTCAATAACAGATAATACTGGCAACCAATCTCGATTATCCGACGAAACAGATTCGATTGGACGTAAAATAGGCAAAATAGCGGTGACAATTATATGAATAAATGGAAATAGAAAACTTCAATAACAGATAATACTGGCAACCAATCTCGATAATCCGACGAAACAGATTCAGATTATAATATAATTGTAATGGTGATTTAAATCTGCTGTTCCTTGCATTTTTCAGACTTGGAAGGAGGAAGTTTTTCATGATTTTTCACATTGTGTCTGGTGTGTGTCTTCTCCTGGCAACAGCTTTGAAACTACTGGCAGGTATGGACATCCGCCCTGAACAGTTGATATAAGATACAGGTCATACTATTGGTGTATGCAGCCTTGACTTAAAACTAGATCTGGAGAACTTCTTTTTTATGAGTGCCATAAAACTAAGTGCCACATATTTGCATCAATTTCAGTTGGCGTTGCTGCTTCGTCCGGTGCCACAGCTTTAGCTTTTGTCGGGAAAATTGGAAACGCTGCCTGTTTTGCGTCTATGTTCACATACGTTCCGGAACTGTACCCAACGAATATAAGGTTTGCATCTTAAATATTGGGCTCCATCACTTTCAATGAGTATGTATTTTGGTGTAAATATTACTACTCGTCTGTCTGTGGCATTGGGCATAAACATTGTGAAAAGAGTGGACTTTTGTTGATATTTCAATATTTGTAATCTGTATTGTTCGCGAAACATGTATACGTTTGGTCGTTATATCTTTGTTGAACACATATCACCAAATGATTACAAATTATTATAAATGGGGGATGCTCTGATGTATGTTCATTGAAATTACTTCGTAAATAACTTTAAAACAAATGTCACTGCATACAGTGTAAGTCTAAGGCCACATGGCCTCTATTTTGAATGTGTTTCAGGACTGTCGGTCTCGGTGGTGGGTCAACGGCTGCAAGAATTGGTGCTGCTATTTCACCTTTCACTTCCTTGCTTGTAAGTACATCTTCGGGAACACTTAAAACAAGCAGTTGTCGTTAGTTGTGATGTAGGAATATGAGCGACAAGCCCAAAATAAGAATTCTCTGCTTACATCAGCGCCGATTGTTCGATTCCGACTACATCGTAAGCATGTGTTTATGAATAACCTCATGTGTTAAATATCGATGACAACAGGCGTTCACGAAAAGGGACGCATATCATGCCTCACAGGTTGCACCCGTCACAAACACTTGCAAAGGCAAGGCAATTGTTCACCTGAAAAAATGAACACGGGAACAAGTTTTGTCACTGACGCGTCAAAGTTGGAAACTAAGTTAAACACTGAAAGGCATCTGATATTGAAATTATTTCTTTGTTGCCCTGTACATATCTTCTTCATGTAAATGTTTAATGTTTACAGGCATCAGCTATATCTTGGTTACCTGGAACTATATTTGGTGTGGGCTGTTTAATCATAGCAGGTTTGGTGATGATGCTTCCGGAGTCACAAGGGAGAGAGTTGCCAGAAACAGTTGAGGACATACAATCATGGCCAAAAAAGCCTAATACATGTACCAGCATGCCAGCCACGTGAAAGTTTCTATCAATGTTCAAATGGAATGTATTTTGCGCATTGCTCCTCTATTGCACAGTAGTAATACATTGTATGTTTGTAAACTTGGTATGCTGATTTAGATATACCAGCCAATTTGGCCAATCGTTGTTGGCACAGGGTGACGATGGCCAGATAGAAGGACTGCCCCTTAGATTTTAAAGGCTTATTTATGTTAAATGTTTAATTCCCGTGGATTTGTATTTAGCTTTCAGGCCGTAAGTAAATAACCGTGTTGGTTCTTTATTGTATCTAACACCTGTTCTTAAAGTGCAAACACTGCACTTTATTAGGACATTACTATTACTCTTGATAGTGTCAATGCCCATCAGAATAGAGTTTGTTAACAAACACCTGTGATAGCCTTGGCTGACCGCTTTGGGTGAAAGATGATCTGATCGGCAGTCTTCTACGCCGATGTCCGTAATTGGCTTACATATGGATTATGCTGCATATCCTCTGGGAGATTCTCCCAAGCTGGGTCACAGAAAGGAAGACGGTGTCCCCGATGCAAGATCAAAGGTAGGAGTCGCTGTCCAGCTGTGAAGACAGAAGCTGGTTGCGTAACAAGTGGTAGGAGCACAAGTCGGTTGAGATGTTTTGACTGGCGCCCTGGGATGCTGTCTGAACAATATACATTGTCCCAGAAAATGCTACACACTGTTGTCTGCCACAAAATACATTGTTGCATGATTTTGTAAACAGTTGTGAGGCTTTAGTTTTAACAAAAATTCAGCTGCAGCTGAAAAATATCCAGTCTCCATACAAAATTTCATCAAATGGTCGATCAGTTCATTGCCACTTTATACCTGGAAATCTGACACGAAGCTCCACTTTTGTAAATGATTATTTCCCCTTTGTCGAACATGATTGAAATTCAGGAATTTGATGAAATGATTAGTTTGCAATATGTGTATCGTATCCTAATCTGTCAGCTGAAATAGGATAGAAGTCATAGGAATCTTTTCCATTGCGATATAGATTGATTTACCCCAGAGCCTAATGTTTCGACACAAATTCAGATTACAAAATTAGCTCACCGGGTCGTAAAACTCAGCTCGTGACTGTCTAGTGACAGAAGTAAGTAGTTTATTTAAGTGTCACACGCACCGGGACATGTAAAACATACATGATATATACATATATCATACAGTGCGTCGAGCCACAAATTTGCCTAAGAGACACTATAATCAAATCATACAATACAAAATAAAACAAATAAATACAATTTGTTTTACAAAAATTGGTTGTATTAAATAAAGATTACAACATTTGCCTTCTTCGAAACATTTTAGAAAGTTTTGAGGGTAAATGGCTTTGTATTTTAATTTCGTTTATTGTATATCCAAATTTTTCTTCATCATTAAAGTTATAAAACCAAGGATTATTTTCATATGCTGCATTAAATAGATTGAAACGCAAATCATCGTAAAAATGACATTGAATAATAAATAATGAAATTCATATTTTATCATATTAACGTGTAAATCATTTGGTAAAATAAGTATTTATGATCTTCATGCATCCGTGCCCATCTCTGTCCAGCGGTCGGTCGCTTGGCTTCAGTTCTCTGACTTTGCGATTGATTTGGCTATCGCTGGAGAATATTTTGTCTGTAAATTTCATTCTCTAGTATTTCAATCTTATGCTCTCATCATGTGTTGATGTGGTATGCTTTATCTCCCTTGTGCGTGAAAGCATATCCACTTGTTGAATATGATTCAGTAACTTTCACTCAGTAGCAGGATTATCTAGTTCTATGCAGATATTTCTCGTGTATTTATTGTAATTGTTGCCATGTTTAATGTACCTTTGGGTAGCTTATGTTTAGTCCTTTATTCTTATACCTATATATCTCCAATATTGGTTTTGTAGATAGTTTGCTAGTCGTGTTTCCCTATTTTCGAATGCACATTGCTGATCGCACACGAGTTTAGATAGCGTTCACGGGTGTCGAGCGGTGGTTGTCTTCTCCGAAGTCCGCTCAAATAGGTTTGCGCTATTTGTTGTTGTACTGTGTGATAATGTACATATTATATTTTAACTATTGATGTAACACGTATATTCGTGTCTCGTAGGCCACGGCTGGCTGATAGATGTACTTTCAATTCATGCCATATTTGCAATGATGCTGATTTTATGCATCCAGTGACACGTTAATAAAATATTTCTTCTTCTTTCTTCTTCTGTATTTTGTCAGTAATATAACCCTTTATCTTGATGTCCGTGAATAACGAATTGTCCAAGGATTATCTAGCTAGCTATTGGCAAGTACCTGTTTATTGTTGGGAGTCAAGAACTTCTGTATATCAAGTACCTGTAAACTCTGGAAGTAAAATATTTCCTTTTTTTAGACCGAAGTGATTTGTTTAGGGATATGTGCACAGTGTCTTTTCTCCCCATCTAGCCAGGCCTAGGCTATTCACTCATTAGAGAGTGCAGAGCTGTCTTACTTTAAGGCTGGCTGCTCGGACTTGGGCGAAGGTTGATTTATCCCTTTTTGACCTATTACGTTTTCTCTTTCTCACTCTCCTAGCTTTCGCTAATTCCATGTTCCACCATGGTACCGGAGTCTTGCAAGTTTTGTGCGCTTTCTTGGAATTGATTTTTCAACTGTGGCAATAATTGCTTTGAGAGTTTGGCTATAAAGATCAGGATTATCCGAAGCAATGTCTGAGGATTTCAATGATGTACCATCCAACCTGAATGTGGACCAATCAGCCTTTGAGGATTGGTCTATTCCTCTAATTGTGGTGGGCAACCTACGTAGGAGAGTTTGGGAAGGTTGTCACCTCCCCCAGGTTGTTTAGAGTTACTAGATTGTCGTCCCATTTTTCGACGATTTTGCCACATTTACACGAATCGTTCCTGTCTTCCAATCAATAAAGAAGCATTAAAGTCACCAAGGATTATTCCATTTTGCCAACTATTTGAGCTATTTTCGTTAGCTCTTCTGTGTTTGCTTCATGAGGAAGCGTGTGGTATACGTCAGGTGTGCGTAATTCATTGCGATTTGCCAGTTTTAACGATTCTACTTGGGTTTCAATGTTTCCTACATTTCTTTAAATATTTTTGTAGGTATTTTGGGTTTCAAGGTTTCCTGCACAAGGATGATGAGTCCTCCACCTTTGTTACCAGGCATGTCCTTTTCTGGTTTTTCTATAGACAGACAGATACATCTATTTACGTCTCACTCAAGGGTACATCAGATATATGAAAACATATTAAGTTCTGAACAAACATAGGTTGTACTGTGTACAGTTCGCGACCCGTGACACAACTGAATACTGGTCCCATGGGCAAATCCCCTTTATGTAATTCAACATCAACGTCACAATAGCAACATATTTAGAAAGTGTAAACATAAATAGATTACATATATCCAACGAAACTTTGACGAACTAATCTGACTTTCATAAAATTTTGAAACCCCTACTTATCTAAAAGCTTAAATGGCATTAACCTACTGTATTAGAATACAGTTTTTAGACACATGTTAATACATTAATTGATCCAAATATGCATAAAATTCATTTACTTTTAAAAGTGTACAGTTATGAACATTGCGATTAAATAATAGCAACAAAAACCTTTGCATATTCACAAAAACATATTTGCTAAAAGCAGAGTCGATAGAACAATTCCGACTATATCATTAGCATGATGATGGATTGTGTTTATGCATCGCTATCAAACATTAATAATACAAGGTGTTCGTGAAACGGTGAGCGCATCTTGGCCCACCAATGACACCCATCACAAACACATACAAAGGCAAGTCATTTGTTAACCTGAAAAGAAAATACGGGAACATATGGTATAAATCAAATAGTGATATGCATCGGCCATTACCGATGTCACTGCTTGGTCAAATTTGGAAATGCCCTCCACATGTCTACCATAAAACATTTTGAAAGCTTTACTGAGGCCTAGAATGTTGCTATCTTGATCAAACAACTTCTGAGCAAGAATCGTACGACGCTCTTTTAAATGTTGATTAACGGAGCATGCTCAAATGTACTTAAACTGTTGTAAAGTAAACACTAAAGATCTGAGGTGCAGGAATATTGCTCGACATTAAGCCAAATTTGACTTTTGGAAGCAGTCCAAGTTTTGTAAAATTGTCAGGTCATTGTTTAAACATGTCAAGTACCACTCACCTTATTGGGTTGCACAAATACTGTGACCTATGTGAATCTGCATATGAATGCATGCTCGGCAAAGATGTTTATATAAATAATATGATATTTATTTTATATGAACATGTATATACTGACAGCGACCTGAGTGTAAATAAAAGTTAATTTCAGTTAGAACAATGAAGAGTGAATCATGTCAGTTCATTTTACAATAAATAGCATTTCCCGGAAAACAAAATATCCGCCAAAAGCACGCCAGACGTGACCTGAATCTTGAAGAAAAGATCAAGCTCAAAAGTCGTTTGAAAGCAAATGTGATTTTTATCCTTGCTACAGAATGTATGTGAGTGAGTATGGTTTTACGCCGCTTTCAGCAACATTCCAGCAATATCACGGCGGGGGACACCAGAAATGAGCTTCACACATTGTACCCATGTCGGGAATCGAACCCGGGTCTTCGGCGTGACGAGCGAACGCTTTAACCACTAGACTACCCGATCGCCCCCAGAATGTATGTGAGATACATTGGACCACAATGTACCAAATGAAATGTTATGAATTGTTTGTCCGACATGAAACCCTGTCGTTTCCGACACTTTCCCTCCAGTCACGAGCAATGTCGGATTACTTTTGTACCAACTGTACATGCCGATATTTAAAAGGCATACACACTGGTGAGTGAGTATAGATTTACTCAGCTTTTAGCAACCATTCCAGCAATATTAGCAACACCCGGACAGTAGGAATGGGGTTTACACACTGTACCAATGTGACAAATCTATCCGGGTTTTAGAAGGGACGACCAAATGATAAAGCACTGGGCTACCCCATCATCCCACATAAACCCTAATCACTGAATAAAGTACATTACGAAAGCTGCCTGTCTGTCATAACTGAGCCATCACGGACCAGGGAATGCATGTCTGGATACGCTATGAGCCTTAACCGTATTAGTTTCAACATTCTAACAAACGGGTATTGTCTGCTTAAACAAACAGTCTGTAGGCTATCCTACTGTAGGCGTCCATCCACTCACCTGTCCCATAAGAGGGGAACAAGTAAGTAGGTGATCTAGATTCGCTATGCTAGACTTGGTTTATCAGATTATGAGATGTGGGCATGGGAAAGCCCACTCCTGAATTCTTAAGGGGTTACCTGGGGGTTCAAAAACTGGGAAGATAATGATACCAGCGATGGTACAAAAGCATGAAATGTAACAATTAATATTACAAATATGATCTAGATGACAGTTCAACAAGTTCATACAAAGTGTGGTCATTATACAAATAAAGTCTAATACGTGTGAAATATGTTGGGGTCCTCAATTCGTTTAAGTTGTGAAAAATAAGCAGGCGTTTATATTTATAGATATTTGGCCATTTAATAAATCTCTCTTCTACACGACAACCTCATCCAATGATTCAATCAGTTCTATAAGTTCAGAAATACGGTCTATTTCTATATTTTGTCAGAAAACATCAGAGTATTAAGATATCTTATATTATTAATCACAAAGTAGATGAGACATATCATTCTGAGATATTTAATCTTATTCTGGAGGAACTTGGGATAGTGAAAGTATCATCGGTGGTTATTTGAAGTCTATCGAACATTATTGCATATTTCTTCGTTCTTTCCATTGACTTTGTACTTCTATCCATCGTTCTAAGCTTGTCTGCCGCCACGAGGGTGAAATATATAAGACATTGTAAGTATACTATTCGTTTGTATTACTATCTCCTAAAACATATTCCTCCTCAAAAGGTATACATTGTACCATGTCTATACTTGGGGTACAGTGGTGTTGTTAAATGGTCAGTCAGATGATATGTATCACCGCTGTCTAATTGATAGGCATGTCCAAGAGAGTAGCGATGGTCCGGTGATCACTGCCATAGGTAACCTTGATGATTAGGTGCTCTGAGCAGTATTTGAACAGGAAAATTAGGTGGTTTCTCCCTACTGTACATGCCTGAAACCAGATAGAATTCGCCAACCAACACTGCTACTGATGCGCCTCCTGTAATAGAAAAGAAAGATATCCCCAAGATACACTTCAACTATTACCTTCTTTGATAGTGAGTGAGTGAGTATGGTTTTACGAAGCTTTTAGCAATATTACGGCGGGGGACACCAGCAATAGGCTTCACACATTACACCCATGTCGGGAATCGAACCCGGGTCTTCGGCGTGACGAGCGAACGCTTTAACCACAAGGCTATCCCACCGCCCCGTTTCTTAGGCAATAAGAAGTTTGAGTACAAAGGAGCTGGAGTCGTCATAGAGCTGGAATATTGTTGAGTGCGGCGTTAAACAAAAACAAACAAAAACAATTTTGGTTTTAATATGTAGCACATCTTGAAGGTAATATTTGAGTAAGGATAAGATTTTATGGAGGAACAACTATCAGATGTAGTTATACTGGAGTGGAGAAGCCTGTTGTGTACACAAAAGGGTAGTAAAGACATTACCGGCGAAGTCAGTAACATAAACAAAAGAGTGAAACAAGTAATATAAACAACAGGAGTATGATATATTGGGGTCTTTGATGAGTTGATGGCTTCTTCAATCCAGTATAACTACATCTGATATCAACTCTACTGTATAAACAATTCCTTCCTGTATATATACTTGTCAACCTTTCTCTGTATATCACTTGGGGGCACGGGTGGCCCAGTCGTCTAAGGCGCCGCGATTCGCTGGGCAGAGTTGCGTCCCTTGGGCACGCCAAAAACCTATGATTGTGGGTTCGAATCCCGGTTCGCCCCGATTATGTTTCTAGGTTTGTCATCACCATAACCGTGCTCGTGGGTTTCACCGAAGGGGTAAATGTCTGAGACCTGCATCACTTCGGGCTTTCCTCCCACATTAAGCTGACACACCGCGATATAACTGTAATACTGTTAAAAGCGGCGTTAAACCCAACTCACTCACACTCACTCACTGTATATCACTTGCTTGATAACGGTGTTAGAACCTACACCGAAACCTCACTCTTAATTGTAATAAAGTTGTTCATCCATAATATCTTATCCTTACTCAAATATTACCATCAAGATGTGCTACATATTAAAACCAACATTTTTTTTGTTTCTTTTTTGTTTAACGCCGCACTCAACAATATTCCACCTCTATGACGACGGTCCGGAAATAATCAAATCTGAACCAAACAATCAAGTGATTGACATCATGAGCATAGATCCACAAAATTAGCTACGATGACATGAATCATCCAAGTCAGCGGGCCTGGCCATCTGATCCCGTTAGACGCCATTTAAAAACAAACATACTCAGAATTTACGAAATATATATGAGCACAAATTTCACAATCCGAAGCGACTAGTGACACACGTAACACATTCACTATTGTGAGAGAGTGAATATGGTTTTACGCCGCCCTTAGCAATATTCCAGCAATATCACGGCGGGGGACACAAGAAATGTCACTATTATGAGATCACAAGTAAATACATAACGTCAAAGCCAGAAAATAACCAATCTCGATTATCTGCTGAAATTATGAGTGAGTGAGCGAGTATGGTTTTACGCCGCTTTTAGCAATATTCCAGTAATATCACGGCGGGGGACACCAGAAATGGGCTTCACACATTGTACCCATGTCGGGAATCGAACCCGGGTGTTCGGCGTGACGAGCGAACGCTTTAACCACTAGGCTACCCGACCGCCCCCTGAAATTATGAAAATCAAAATATATGACACCAGGTGTTCGCGAAAAGGGAACGTATGACCTACTCTGCCGATAGCACCCGCCACTCACACAATTTGCATAAAAAGAAAGTCTGTTTGTTGTCAAACGCTGCAAAAAGCAATTCCACAAAATAATCACACCAGGAGAACAGTCAGTGGTAGCGGATTTTGTAAACTGTAATGATGTGTCAAACCACAACTGTTCGTTAAAGAATCTCTAAAAAGTAAATCTGCTCTTGATAGCATATTGTGTCATCTAATGCCTAATTGCAAACTTTCTTTCGTTCTCTAAACTGTACACAACATGGTTAGAGCTGAATATATGAGATCTGAATATCTACTTATAAAACTTCATATCTAAAGGTTAGCAGTTGTGGGTGGTGCTAGTTTGTCGTTAGGGACCGACCATGTGATATTCTGGGGCTACAGTAACAGCTGAAAAACCAGATATTTATGTTTATTTAAAACTATGAACCTGAATATTTATGAAGTCTGAAAAACATTTTGGCCCATGTATTTCCTCCTCTGAAAAGCCGTGTGAACTTCGAAGCTTGCACGAACGATTCAATCAGTTTCTTTTCATGATGATTATCAAAACGACTACTGACTGTTTTTTGAATACTGGATAACAACATGGAATACAATGTCCCCTGGTATGACAGATGGTTGGTACATTGTCACATACCTTTATCGTGTGAGTAATGTGTTACTTAAGTACATCAATGTTCAAGTGTCTACGGCGGGAATGACCTTCTAACCCAGATTCTGACTGCCGTACCAGCGGAAATTTACACCTGTTTTCTCAGGACACGTTTGGGTACACGCCATGCACGCAGTGGTCTACGAAACGGCCACCACACCAGACACTGTTCCTACGACCCCAACCTCAACCGTGTGGTATGTAATATTTTCATGTCTTGATATACATATGTAACTCATGTCCAACTGATATCAATGATAATATCGCAGGCTGACCTTGAGACATTTCATATTTAGTACAACTATCTGGTGTTTGTTTGTTTTTGTTTGCTTGTTTGTTGTTTAACGCCACACTCAGAAATATTCCAGCAATATGAGGGAGGCCAGTAAAAAATCGAATCAGACAATCCAGTGATTTACATCATGAACATCGATGCACGCAATTGGGACATGATGACCAAGTTCAACCAAGTCAGCCAATAGCCTGGCTATCGCCTCTAACGACAGGAGTACATGTAGGCTGGTGGGGACCGATATTCTCACCCAGAATACATAAGAGTGAACTATTTGATGTAGTAAATATGCCAAGTACTGTTGTCGATATTTTCCACAGCATGACATCCCTGTTTTCAGTACACTTAGTCTGATGAAGCAGCATCTTTGCGCCGCTTTTATCAATATGCCAGCCACATCGCGGCTGGGGCACACCGATATTCGACCTTTGTCCTCTACTGGTACCAGGCCACCCAACCACCCAAATGATAAAGAGGAACACTGCCAAACGTTTCTTTTTATTTATTTTACCAACGAGTGTATTCCTAACATGCACGTTAACTTCACGATTGTAACGGAGAATGAAAAGTGAAAGAAAACTCGACAGTAAAAGACGACAGGGGTGTTGTACACATGAACGTTGAGATGACTTGATCAACAATGGGTCATGCCCCGGAGATTGATTTTACGTTCGTTTATACGACATACATTGTGTAGCATCTCCTAATGACAATTTGAGGGAGTCTTGTCCATTCCTCTTATGTTCACTCCTCTTGTAGCGCCTGATCCAGTTCGGCTAGTGTAGCAGGACGCCTTTGACACCGGAGTACATATTTTGCCGAAATCCCAGACGGTCTGGACACATTGCATTCTGGTGACGTTTGACTGCTTGATGTAGTCAGTTACGATACGTGCAAGGTGCGCACGAGCGTTATCGTCTTGAAAGGCAAAATTTGGACCAGCATGGTGCCTCATTAGTTGTATCGATAGAAAACCGCATAGAAAACATTACAAGAGACCATGGACGATTCCCCCAGTTTCTGACGACCTTTCACTGAAGTGGCAAACTCAACAATGACTCCTTACCGATGTGTACGGAGAAATTGCATTGTTCACGAAGAATGTTTAGGGTGTGTTCGGGCGTAAGGTTTGATTCCAAAACCAATGCAAATGCGAATGCTGATCCTTCTTCTGAAAACCGATTAAAAGATATATGTTTCATGATTCCCTAATGTTTCTGGGGAGTATGTCAGCTATAAGTATATTGAGATTATTGTTCTTCTCAACCATATTTCAAATTCCTGAGACACTAATTACTGGCACCACATTACGACGTCTTGAATACAATAGTGAATATTATTACTGCTAGTTTAGCATGACACATTTACAATAACTAATAACTTTCAAGAGTAACAGGCTGATGTTACTTTCCTATCAGGGTACGAGCACACTTAACGCAATACACAAAACTGGATCTCGCGCTTCCCTTCACCGTTCATGGTGTGTACACGTGGATTAACATAACTTTTGTCATACCTGCCATACCTAGAACAACCCCTTACGACCGTCTGAGATCAGCGTACATTATAGGTCGAGGGTGATAATTTGTGCCATGTGCGATGCGTCAGATGCCCATTGTGAAATGTAGGGGTATATGTCGTGCAATCTGATCGGTTGTGAATTTGACCCGTGAAGATCCACGGTAGAATAGGTCTTCAGCAACCCATGCTTGCTGTAAAAGGCGACTATGCTTATGTGGTAAGAGGCGACCAACGGGATCGGGTGGTCAGGTTTGCGGACTTGGTTGAAGCATTGCATCGATCCAATTTGCATGAATCGATGCTCATGATATCAATCACTGGATTGTCTGGTCCAGACTCGATTATTTACAGACCGCCGTCATATGGTTGGAATATTGCAGAGTGCGGCGTAAAACAACCAACCAACCAACCAACGGTTGTAAATTTGAATTGGATATCGGAAATCGTCTGGAACGTTCATCACAACCCCGAATAGTATTTTTGATGAGTATTGCTTTTTGTAATTCCGCTTGGCAAAACGGGTACAGTGTGAACAGTTTTTCTCCCTATAGTCATCTAACAAGGCGGGTTCAGAAATCATTGCATGATGACATCATATCATTCCGGAGTGACGTCCAAGCATTCCAACGTGATGTCATGTCTATTCCATAACTGCAGTTGTAAGCGTAAATTTGGAGCCCTACTGATAGATTTTATCTTCACGATGTCAATTCAGGTCATATAAATATTCATATAATTATATGACTAATAATATTTGTCCTGAATATAGTAGTAGCAACCCTGAAGATGCCTCCATCATTTATTGTGTGGTATAGGACCGAGGGCATTTGGTGTTTTATTACCATTATTTATAGGATGTTAGTAATAAAACGTCAGTTACAGATCGTTATTTTTTATTTTAAATATCCACAATTCCAAGATCAAAGGTCGTATTACACATTCAACAACGTATTCAATGTTGATACTTTTGTAGGATTGACAGAAATACCAGAAACAGTACATGTGTAACGGCTTAGAATCACAAGATAGATAAACGTGGCAAAAATATCACCCAATGAAAACAGTTGTGACCGCTGCCCCGGAAGTTCTGGCCTACTTCCCCAAATAGGTTTGTTTTGGAAGCCGATCAAGGAGCGTGTTTTATTTCCTCACTTTCTACGAATATTAAGAATTTCGAAATTGGCTTAGTGTGTCAAGGAAAAATGATATTCACAACACAATCGCAATCACTTTTTTCACTTAACGTGCCCTTTAAATACTTGTTCTGGTCTCAATATAAACCATATCATCACTTTAATGACACATAATTGAATACACCTTAAGGGATCGATTACACGAAAAGACATTCTTGAGACTTCGTCAACGATTCCCTTACCCCTTTATTGCTTCTTGTTTTGTTACTTGGGCTCTGTCTATACATTTTGTGATTATGGTTGTGTTCGGATCACACATATTCAGAGGGTAACTAGTTTGTGGTATAATTCAAATCTTGAAATATCCATGTTCATCGAAATTATCATGACGTCATTACAAAATGTATTCTTTTTCGTTGGCAAATATAGTTGACTATAAAGAGGTTGTAAAAGAGTGCGTGCAATAATGCAATAACCCCTTAAATATGTAGCATAAGCTTCTCATTAACAAAGAATTTATTTCATTTCGTACAGGAGCTTCCGACACGGTCGATATATACACGGGTCTCCTTGAATTGGTTTAGTTTAAGTCACACACACACACACACACACACACACACACACACACACACACACACACGGGCGCTGACGGGAGCATACGTTAGATGTAGGTCATGTGTGACACCAAGGTAACAAAACCTTATCCATATCTGGTTTTCACTAAAGTGACAAACATCTAGTACCTGCTACATTTTAGGCATTCCTGCCAAAGTCAGTTGACATGATGTTAAGTAACTCGAATGCTGACCAGAGCGTAGTAAGCAGCACGTCTCTATTTCCTTCATTCAAAGATGTTCATATCATCACAAGAATTGTGCCTAAATCGCAATTAGCAGGAAAGGTCTATGATTAAAAAACTGTTCATTTACATGTATGTAACCAACCTCGGGCATGCTTGTTTCAGAGTTTTGAACATGGCCGACGTCAAACAGGAACCCCCACGGACTATTGACAGTATCCTAGAACTACTTGGCAGTCTGGGACGCTATCAGCTGTTTCAAGCGGTTCTGCTATGTATTGGAAACTTAACAATATGTTTCCATCTCCTTAACTTCGTGTTCATAGGTATGTTTGTATCTGCAAACATCAAGATGAAAACTTACATGTGTGGCAATGCATATCAATTGAAGTAAAGCAAAACAATGATAAGAAATATATTACACAATCATAAATCAGATAATACGCTTTAAATACAAACTACATTGGCAATCTAATAAGAGAATGGTTATATTGACGCAGAGTTTACACCGCAATGCATTATTCAACAGCTCAGACCGTGAAACAACAGTGTGAAGTGACGCCGCTTTATGGCAACAACAGCAACACTAACTACGGCACCTGTGACGTGTCAGTACAAAACACCACCACCAACGTCACCTCAACACATACTTGTAGTGCCTGGACATATGATGTGCAGAAAGATCATTCCATTGTGTCGGAGGTGAGGCGTATTTTTAACTTTCTATAGAAGGTGAAATGTGAAATGGGGTTTAACGTCGCGTCCAAGATTATTGCACTTATATAGCGACGTGCATGCACGTGTATGTGTGTGTGTGTGTGTGTGTGTGTGTGTGTGTGTGTGTGTGTGAATGTATTACATATAACTGACACATACAATGTAATGCCTATTTCATAAACACTGGCATCATAAACAAGCGTCAAAGACGAAAGTCATAGGTAAGACATTCAAACATGTTATACAAGTCAAACTGTTCTGGGTTTTTTATAGTGGGATCTCGTGTGCGGGAATGTCTTCTTCGCCCGCCTCCCACAGTCTCTCTTCATCGTAGGGCAGGGGGTTGGCGCAGCAACTGTCTCGGGGATGTCAGACAAATTCGGGAGGAAACCGTTTCTGCTATTGTCACACATATTGACCGCCGGCGCCGGTCTTGCTTTAGCCTTCTCTCCGAATATCGCAGCCTTTTCTGCTCTGCGATTGGTGAATGGCATTTTTCAACAGGTAAACCTTCACCGGATAATGTTTTTCCATGTTAAAGTTGCATTAGCCGTGAAACTGCATCAGTTCAGTTTGTAATGTTTACCAACTGATGTCATGTATACATGTACAGAAATACGGCCGTTTGAACAAGGAACATTTACATTCCATCTTACAAACGTCCATTTAAAAGTTTTTTTTGAGACGTGTACCAATGATTATTTAGATAAAGCCTATGTCTATCCTTTATTCATGGCATATATATGATATACAACAATACGGAAACATTATTGTATGTAATGTTGTTATTTACTGTACATATTGTATTGCTGGTATGACTAATATCCTATTTTACGTTGTTCCAGGGCATTGTTGTGTGTACATACACCATGATCATGGAGACATTTCCAAGAAGCAAACGTATTGAAATATCCACATTCTATACCTTATCGTGGAATTTCAGCACGATACTCCTCACAGGGACGGCCTACTTGTTACGTGATATGGACTGGAGAACTCTGCAACTCTGTTTCGTGTCTGTTTCCATCAGTGTCTTTCTTCAAATCTTGTGAGTTCAGATTATTTCGTATCCCTTTTTCTGGAATGGAAAAAGGAAAGCATGAATGTGGATTACTCAAAAATGTTTTCTAACATAGGCTCATAGGTGCATCACTTTGCTAGGAACTGATCATTGGTATTGGTTTTTTCTCCCACATAACGCTGCGTTGGTATAACTGAAATTCTTCAGAAACTGATGCAGAAACAAGCATAGCTTTGTATTCACAGTTTAGGTTGTTTGATTGTTAACGGGGATATCACACCATTCTGTACCATGCGGATTTTATTGATATACCCAAAATGATTGGTAATGTGCGTCAAGTTTTTTATGTTGTGTCATCATCCGATAGTCTGTTTATAATATTTAATAAATAGATTTTGCCATCGATGACAAAAACATTTCCACTCCTACTCGTGCCTCTAAATATAAATTACATTGACAATCACTGATAAAATTCAACTTGTGCAGAAATATTATCAAAACAGATCGTTATATTTGATAATACAACATAAATTTGTTTCATCCAATGTTGAAGTATATTTCTTCCCATATGTCTACATATGTACGCAGAAATTAGACTTCAACATGTTTGTAATCGACACTGTCCCAAATGAGCAAATTGTACAATAAACTAAAAATATAGAAATTTGTAAATACCTTTGACCGAGACTCGGCAAAGACCGTAGAGTTTCTTGACTTTTTGGTTTCCAGAATAAAAATGGGACGTGTTAGAATAAGTAAACATCACATCATGATTTATAGCAATTTCATAACATCAATCAGTACCACATGCAAATATTGTATAGATCAAGATATTTCAGGAGTCAGCGTGCAGCGTCAAGGAGATGCAGACTTTACTTATATGAATTCCAAATGTGAGACAACAGAGAAACGATGTTTATTTCCATAGCTTTATGGCGGAGTCCCTGAGATGGTTGATCACGAACAAAAAGGTCAAAAGAGCAATGGCGTTGTTCAAAAGAGTGGCGAAGACGAACCGCCTTGACGTGACTGACGTTCAACTTCCAGGTATAGACATTACGCAAACACCCGTTGACCTGAGCAGCACCAAGAGTAAATACGTGGAAACGCCACCAGAGAAACAGCCCGAAGTAGTAAAATACAGCTGCCTTGACTTGGTGCGGACCAAGTTTATGTTGAAGATATGTGCTGTCGTGTGGTTCTCCTGGTGAGTGAACTGAATGTTGGGATTCACGCTGCAGGGATAGGTTTTGTTAGGGTTCCTATTTCTTAAACAGTCAATCAGTTGGTAGCTAGCTATTCATTCGTTCACTGAAAGAGGAAATATAATATATATTATATATTATATATATACTACTATAATAGCACAAAAGCGTTGATAACAAGAACCAAGTTTAAGTTATGACGATATGGTTCGATGACAGTAACCCTTCTTAAATGTGCATACTGAGACATAGGTACATAAAGTCACAAAGGAATTGCATAATTTATGTATCAATGGCATCCTAGTGTTTCGCTAATGACCTGCAACCCCGAGTGTTGTAATCGTTGCATAATTTGTACAAGTTTGCTGTTTGATTATTGTTTAACGCCAAACTGAGCAATATTCCACCGATATGAATAATCGAGTCTGGACCAGACAATCCAGTGATGGACATTATAAGCATCAATCTACGTAATGGGGACACGATGACATGCATCAAACTGTTAGGCTTGGTATTCAGCAACCCATGCTTGTCGCAAGAGGCGACTAACGGGATCGGATGGTCCACTTGCTGTCTTGGTTGATGCATGTCGTCAATTCCCAATTGGTAGATCGATGCTGGAGTGCCTGAGCCAAACTTGATTATTAACAGCCCGCCGTAACATAGCTAGGATATTGCTGAGAGCGGCGCTAAACAACAAACAAACAAATAGTATGAGAGTTTATGTAGTTACAATGTGACAATGTTGCAGGCTAGTTGACAGCTTGACGTACTTCAGCCTCTACCTGACATCCTCCTCCCTGCATGATGATCAATACCTGAACTTCTTTCTCAACTCTCTGGCTGGAGTGCCATCGGGTCCACTTTTCTGGTTTGTCGGAAGGAGGTCTGTTATGTTCTGAGTATCATATTCGATATTTAATTTAATAATGTTGTTACAGAACAAGTTGACACATCAGGTTTAAACCTTTGTTTTTTTTAGTAATGAACTTCCAACAGGTCCTCATCATACGCGGCAGTAAACCACAAATCTCTATCATCTTATGCTGTTTTACGATAAAGGTATTACGTTACAACTGACCCAACTCAGTCATCGTTTGAAACAATATGAGAGCGACATATCTATCAGTGATGACACCAGGTGGTTTGGGAAAAGGATAAGCATGTCCTGCTCCACCGGTAGAACCAACACCACATCCAGCAATAATCCTGCCTTTCAAAGACTGCCAGGTATCACGAGCAATGATCTATTTTCGTCGGGTACAATCAAAACAATGTTTCACGTGTGAAGGTACTGATTTGTCAGTAGACACCGTTGACACCGAAAACATCCTCAACATATACTGTAGTGCCAAACTGCCCTGGTGGAATAGTGGGATCGAATTCTTGTGAAAAAAACATATTTTTATTCATTTTTTTACCTTCAAATATTTGTTTCGTTTTCTGAAGGACTATCCCGTAGGTTACTTGTTATCTGTTTCATTATCAAAAGTCAAAATAATTGTGTTATTTGGCGCTATGATACATGTCCTATCAGCTTGGTCATAGCTTTCATATCATATTGGTAGTGTTCACAAAAGACGTGATGATTTTCAATATGTTAATCAAACATCATCTTCGATTATCCAGTGTATAATATCTCCTTTCTACTATCATTCATATCAATGACCAATTCGTCGATATTTTGTGTATCCACTTAAAGGACATCGTAACGTTTCCTTTTACGATAGAAACAAGTAACATTATCACTAGTATTCGTCTCAATTGGGAACTCATTGTAACATAAAATAAATATACTGCATGTTTGGTTGTTGTATAACGCCGCACTCAGCAAAATTCCAGCTATTTGACGACGGTCTGTAAATAATCGGTTCTGGAGCAGACAATCCAGTGATTGACATCATGAGCATCGACCCACGCAATTGGGATAGGATGACATGCATCAAACAAGTCAGCGAGCCTGACCTCTTTAGTCGCCTCTTACGAATAGCATTCGTTGCTGAAGACCTATTCTACCCCGAAACTTCACGATTCATATACTGCAAGTGACTCCTTGGCATTTGATTGGCTTCTGAATGGACTTCTGTTCCATTATTGACTTAAACATATTGAGGGCTCGTTCGCACGACAGGGAAGGAACTTACGAAACGAAATTAATGTTGCTAATAGGTCCCGAGTATATATAAAGACTCTGAGAAAATGTAAGACATGATATACTGGATAATCGAGGATGGACATACAGCTGTCCCAACAGTAATGCTTTGATTAAAATATAAATAATATTGATCCAGTACACATTCAGTCTTAATATTTACGTTAGTATTTTTCGTAACACCTGACTGAATTTCAAGTTTTAAACAAGACATTTCCACTGTTGTTACTTTATAGGTGGGGGAGGAGAGTTTTTTTCATGTCTTTCCACGTACTTGCCGGTGTGTGTCTTCTTTTGGCCACAACGGTCCGGGCATTTGCGGGTGAGTTTGTTGACGAATCAATGTACAGTACTGGGGGTGCATATATTTTGACTTTCAATAAATTATAATGCAAAGGAATTGACTAATAATCGCTAATATTTGTCCACACTACTCTTATCTCACGGAGCACAACGAACAACTCGTAGGTTGCCAAACGCCTTGTGTATGAAGAAGAGATCAGTATCACAAGGTGATTTCCTTGAGTAAAGATCCTGAATAGTGATACTTAACATATCGATCTGTGTGTTGGTATAGAACGATGTTATGTTAAACACTTGCTTTAGATATAGTCTGAATCGTATGGCTATGGAAAAGGTTTCATCGCATTTATGTACAAGGGTACGTTCAAGTAAGTAACATTTTAATATTTCAAATACAACTATTTAGACTTTTGACTTTCAGTTGGACAAGCAGCATCAGTAACGGCTACAGTCTTGGCCTTCGTGGGGAAAATTGGTAACAGTGCCTGTTTCAATGCTATGTTTGTGTATGCGCCCGAGATCTATCCGACAAACCTCAGGTAATTTACACATCAGGAAACAATAAAATTAATGTAAATGTTTTTGATATCCTCCATTACATACCCTCATACATGGTTGTACGTTGATATGGTCGTGTTGGGAAGCTTTACAATATTTACTGCAACACATTGACATCTATTATCACTTTGGTTGGCAGATCGGCCGGTATGGGATCTGGTTCCACAGCTGCTAGGGTTGGAGGGATGATCGCGCCTTTTATATCCATTCTTGTGAGTTATTGTATAATTACTAACATTCTTTTACTTCCAATGTTTCTAACAAAATACAACCACCATATACCTGGAATATTGCTGAGAGCGGCGTTAAACAACAAACAAACATAAACAAAATACAAATGTGCATATATGAATCCTTCAATGAAACTGCTCCTCGCAATTAGGCAAAAACACTATCCTCGTGATAGAACAGTGTGATGTCTTCATGCATTAAACCTTTAACTGAATCCTCCACTGTTTTATTCCAGGCAGAAATTGTACCCTGGGCTCCTGGAACTATTTTCGGGATAGCCTGTTTGGTAACAGCCGCGCTTAATTATATGCTTCCTGAAGCAGAGGGGCGAGAACTTCCCCAGACAATAGAGGACGTCAAGGCATGGGGTAAAGCGCCTGCAAGAGGTTAACGTCACTTCAATTAAACAAAGATGTACACGTTTGAATAATATCCCCAGATACAGCCGAGGTGCGGACATTTCTTAACCTCTTCTGAAGTTTGTATACATGAACGCTCTTCAGAGTTGCCATGTTATGCAATTACTTCTGTCCATATCCATATTCTGAAACGTGTGTAAAGACAGTCGAATAAAGATACCTAAACCATCATACATGTGTATGTGTTATATGTCTTAACGTCATATTCGTAACGCTAGGGACAGTGACTAACGTCAGACTGGTAAATAGTGGGATTTGTAACAAGTAGAAAATAGATTTTCGTTAGCCACAATAAATAATAAATTCAAATGGTTTGGAGCGACAAAATCTGACCATTCCGACTATATCACAAGCATGTTTATGAATCACTATCAAACACAAATGATACTAGGTTTTCGTGAACAGGTAAGCTTCCTGCACCACTAGTGGCACCCGATTAGTCGCCGAAACAGATTCCACTGGACGTAAAAGGCAAAATAGTGGTGACAATTATATATGGCCCATCAGTTGGTCATTTGTCATTTGGCTTTGTCACCGTCACTTCCCACCATGAGACGCACTTGTTCTACGGTTACTCAACCCAGATGTCAACAGAGAAAAGGTGAACACATTTTAGTCCACAGTTATGCAAACCCCTCTCTTTCTTATGGCGGTTTACAGAGGAAATACCATTGACCCAATGTGCTAGATATGCTACTGTTTGTTTTTGGTGTGTGATATAAGTTGCGAAAAATATGTTTGGATTGTCATATTGTAAGATGAGCAATACCCAAATCATCACGTTCAGACCCTTCACACACAAAAGATTATTAGAGGTCTAACCCAGTGAGACGAGCCTTTGAGAGTTGTACAAACAAGTCACCGATATCCCGATCTTGTTCGTCCCAATGGGTTGCTGAAGATCAATTCTAACCCGGGTCACAATAGACAATCCACCTATACGTCTGGATACAAATGTCTCTCTGTATAGTAATAGTAAATGGATCCGTGAAACTTGACGGGTCACAGTGACCCAGATCCCTGTTGATTGGCATGCCAAGTGTCATTTGCATAAGGCAATCCATATTTTTTGTATGTTTTTCTCCCCTCAAGCCTAAACTAACCAGAAAGCGGGCGGACGAAATAAAATATATTACTAATAAAAAAAAGTCTTTCAATAATTGTGTAAGTTATTTTATGATATTTAAAAAAAATAGTTCAAACACTTGGTACTAGAATCTAGTCTATGAATTTAATTTATGATGTAGATCGATTCGCTTTGCTTCGGAAGCGATTTTTTAATAAACAACGGAACAAAGATAAAGTTGACCTGGTTCTTTTATGACGGTGCAATGGTAGATCTAGTAGTATTTCTTTTATTAGATCGGTGCGCAATTTTCCACAGCGGCAGCAAAATTAAGACACGAAAACATTAAATTATTTCACGTCGGAATGGAAATACAAATATTAAAATACGGACAGCTTCACAGCCTCACAAACACATGTTTTGTCTCGAAGCTCAAAGCAACAATGTTTCTCTCAGATACATTTTTTTCTCCATCCATGACGAGCATCTGTCATAATGTGCCTCAACAATCTTCCTGGTCAGTTGAATTCAACGATGTAATACACACGGCCTCATTCACAGCGTCATCACAAGATTCCTTCCAAATACCCACCACGTGATCAGGGTTACGACCTTGGGGTGAATTAATAAATTAATTGGCACTTTTAGAAAAGATTTTTTTTCGTGAATATTCTTATTAAAAAATATCCTGTACATGGTACTTTTGGATTGCACTGCGGATTTATTTTATTACTTTCTAAAACTTTTTGTTTTCCCCTTTCTGACCACCTGATCTCTTAGCAACCACGCCCCATGAGCGCATCGAGTTGCTGCTTACAACTGTCAAGAACTTTACAATTTCGCTTGTCTTCATTATGAGCAGGAAAACATTTTCATGTAAATCCTAATTTGACGAAGAGTTGTTCGAGATAATCAGGGAGCCTTTGGTCATTTCGATTATGACATTGATGTCTTTATCGTGGAGAAAGTTCCAATTCAAGATGACATCATTCCGATTCACAACTCGAATCGACAAGATGGCGCCTCTCTTCCCGCCGTAGCAAGTGCAACAGAAACTTTGACAAATTCAGTGCCGATTCTTGGGAGTAGTGAATCAGTGTCACAGCAAGATTTCATTGTGGAACCAGATGAAGCCGAATATGTATGTTCACACTTCTTTTGACAACCATGCGTGACACGGCACAGGCAATCGCAGTTAGGGAATGGTGCGGCCACCATGTTGCAGAAATTCGTCGATTCGAACACATTGCTTCTGGACTGAGCTAAATAAACGAAGTGTTTGGAGAGTTCGCAGATACTTGGACTTGAAGCAATGGATATTAAACGTTGCAGCAGATGAAGGATTGGTGTGGACCAAACGGGAAAGGGATCCCAGTTTGTATTTTAAAACTTGTGCACGAAGTGTATCCAAATACCCCGAACAAAAAAATACATGGGACAAGTGTGGATCTAATGATCAAATTCAATTTTGTGTGTGAAAATTCTGTGAAGGAAAAGGAAATTCAAATTAGGCCTCTTCCTAAACACTAGTTGAACAATCTGTGTAATAATTTAAGTTTTATAAATATAATCTGATTATTGTGTGGCACAGATCTAACTGTTGAATGCAAATGACCAAAACTAAAAAAAATATATCTGTAATTTTCGGATTGAACTGAAGGAATCGTGTCGTCAATTTCGTATTTAAGTATCGTTACTGTTATATTAACCGAAACCGATGTTCTGCTGTTGTTCTGCCGTAAAAATATACAACACAATGCACTTTGACCACAAATACATTGAATGTGTCACATGTACACATGACCATGTGCTTTGCTATTTACAGCGCAACCGTAAATAAGCTCCGCCCACTGTGATTGATGCAGACGCCAAACACGATCGATTCGATTTTTTATGATAAAACTACAGAAATTTTATTGACTTATATCTAGATATGGAGCCATTTGTTGTATCCATGGTTTGTCATTCAAGTTGATACGAAGTTTGACGGTCAATGGTGATCTGGTTCCCTTATGGTTTTCAAAAAACGTCTCCCGACACTCGGTTGTGTTTACATTGTCGAAACTGAAACACCTTGCGGGCTATTTATAGTCAGGGTGGGGCTTTAAGTCTACCTTCTGTGTGACGCGTACAGCGTGTGCCTTATATACTAAAGACGCAAAATCATTTCGTTATCCATAATCATAAGAATTCTTTGCTAAAAGAAAAGCAGAATTCATTGTAAGGTTTCGACTATTATCATAAGCATGTGTCCATGAATCAGTATAAAATAGGAAACTGGGAAGATCCGGGGTAAAATATAGGTCTTCAGCCGTAAAAGGCGGCTATGCTTGTCGCAAGAGGCGACTAACGGGATCAGTTGGTCAGGATCGCTGACTTTATATCCAAATTGCATGGATGGATGCTCATGATATCAATCACTGGATTGTCTGGTCCAGACCCAATTATTTACAGACCGCCATCTTATAGCTGGAATATTGCTGAGTGCGGCGTAAAACAACAGTCCAACCAACCAAACCAACCTTCTGCCCTTCTAGTTTTTTCTCGTTTCAAACATGACAGTAGCCCTTAGGCGTTTATCACCTTGAAGACGACGTATTCCCAATCTGAGCTTTAAAACAACAAACAAACAAACAGTATAAATTAGTGATGACGACACGTTTTTGGTCTGGATTGTCTGGTCCAGCTGGAATATTGCTGAGTGCGGCGTTAAACAACAAACAAAAAACGTTTCTTGGTAATTGAAGCTTGGGACACGGAACTCATCAAATTGAATCTCCAAATGTCACAAAACTTCGATCTGGTCCACTCCTTGTAGAATGTGCGCGGAGACGACAATCTGTCAATCTGCTCAAAGTAAAAGAGTTTGTCAATATCAAGGTTAAGTCTTCCACCTTCCTCAACTATCCAATCAGGGCTTCGGACTGTGTATGATCAGCTCCCAATGCAGTTCATAATCATGGGCGATTTAAACGTCGTTCATAATCCCTTATGGGGGAGTACCGATACAAATATACTCTTAAAAAAACCGCAATACGGATATTTTGGCCATAAAAGCAAAATAAGCGGATCAAGAGGTACAAAATGAAGAGGTTTAATGTGTTATATTTTTAGTGACAAATTTCGCTGATCAAAATGATCACATCAAGGACATGCAAACCATTAGTCGGGAAACACGAACGATTCGGAAAAACCCACCAAGTGCATTAACAAAAGGGCCATGGAGCTGCGCGCGCAGCACGTGCAGCAGGACTATGAACGGTATTAAAGTGCAGGGTTTTTGATTGCCTGGCATCTGCGTCAATCGAACAGTGACAGTTCAACAACATGCCAAGATTAACAGAAGTGCAAAGAAACAACGTCATAGGCCCATTTCATAGCACCATCACAAGGCTAAGGGATCGGTTTCAGCTGCATGGGTTAACACGTGATCGGCCAAGATCGGGACGACCAAGATTAACCACCCCCGCCCAAAATCGTTACATCCGACTGCGCCACCTACGTGAAAGGACGACCACAGCCACCTCAACCGCATCCCAAATACCCGGACAGCGCAGAATCTCCGACCAGACCGTACGAAACCGTTTTAGAGCAGCAGGTCTACGAGCAAGACGTCCTGTTCGACGCGTCATATTGAGTCGACAATATCATCAACAACATTTACATTGATGTCGTCAACATAGGCCTCAACTGTGATGGTGAGATGTCTGGTACAGCGACAAATCAAGATTTCTCCTCCGTCGAGTTGATGGAAGAGCACGGGTCTACAGACGTCGGGAAGAACGTTACGCTGGAAACTGCGTGTACGTACAGGGAGTGGACAGGTTTGGTGGGGATAGCGTTAGGATGTGGGCGGCTATCTCTCATCATGGCTTGAAAGGTTTGGTCCATATCCAGGGCAATCTTACAGTTCAACGATACATCAACGAAATTCCCCTTCCACACGTCCTCCCAATTGCAGCCAACGGCAACGGCGTATTCCAGCAGGACAACGGTCGACCGCATACAGCACAGATCACAAGAGCCTGTCCACACAACACCAACGTTGATGTTCTCCCCTTGCCCTCCAGATCCCTGGATTTGAACCCGATAGAGCAGCTGCAGG